GATTGGAAAAAGCTCAATTGAGTATGTCATTTGAGCCGTCATCAATTAACATTGTTGCTCATCATATAAATGAATAATATCTGTACTAGTGTAAACGGTAGTGTTTGATTGGATCAATATTGAAATGAGAGAATAATAGTAAAGCAATAAATATGTTTGGATTTTTTTTTCATGGACTGCTGCAGCAGCACAAAAACATTTTTCTGCAAAGATTACATTCACGTAAATATTGAAGAATTTGCACGTAATCAACTGATATAATTTAAATTAATAAAACAACAGTGATAACGACTTAGTTAATGTTGAAAGAAATATATTTATCTTTTTAGAGAAGTTACAGAAATCAACACATTCAGTACGTAAATACAGGTAGAGTTTATGCAGAACTATAGAGTCAATAGTTTATACAGACCGAAACAAACAATGCTATAACTACTACTGTTACATTTTATTCTTAATTCACTGTTCGAATTCTTTTATACTATGTAATTTAACTGTATCAACATAACAGAGAAAATAATTTCCAAACTTTTCGTAAATACGCAATTGATGCAAGTAGTCAGAGAATAGTATGAGATTCAGAAACAAAAATGGGAAAATCTAAGACCGGTATGATTGATAAAGTATTTGATTGAGTGACGATTGAATGATCATTTGATAAAATGAGTCGAATGAATGATTTAGAATCCTACTGAAATAATCGTTGAAAAAGTGAACTCTCATTTCAATGAATAATAATGTTTTAAGGAACTAAAGCTATGAAGAAGACTGAATAACAATTAGTTACCAATAATACAGTGAATGGTTAATATAGAATAAAAATAAAAACCTATAAAACAATCGGTAGAGATTTACATCGCATTACCAGTAACAAAGAACCGTAAAATGATCAACATTTGGATAAAGGCGATTTAATAGTAGAGAGAAATTTGTAACTTGTGTAGTTGGATTCAGTAAAGCTGAATCTCATAAGCTCGATGGTTTAATTTATGGAGATTTCTAGTTCACTCTTGAAAATATTACCATTAACTGTATGGCTTCCTTAAAAGTTTTGAAATTATATCATACTCTTTATTTTACCGACTTACAAAAAATCAAAAGAGAAATAGCCACGTTTATCATTAATTTAATAGATATTAACTGAGAATTCAAAAACTAACTTTTACCATACTTAATTAAACGGAAGATATTTTAATAAGATCTTATTTTAATTAATTACGTTAAGTGAAAATTACTTACCTTTAAAAAACACATCTAGACAAGTCGGAAAAATTTAAATAATTAGGTACAGAGAACAAATGAATGTGAGTTAATGGGCGAGAGAGTTTAAAGTAATGAATAGATAATAAATTATCAAGCCAAATCACCGCATAACAAAATAATAGAGACTAATTAGGAATGACACTAGTTGACCGATTCTTGCATCCCAAACACTAAATGAATGCACAGGTTTTGAAAAAAAGGTTCATAAACTTGCCAAAATTCTCCCTCATGATTATTTTCAGACTAAAGTAGTATAGAAGTTTAACGGAAACTACTTAATGTGATGAATGGATAAAATCAATTGTTGATATAATATTCCCTTGCCAGATCCAAAACCGATTATTTAATGGATCCTATCACACGATGATAATAATCTGTATAATTATAGCTGCTTTCGTTAGTTTGTTTTCCTAACATACTAGTGATAACTGAAATTGTCTCATTAGATTATCAATTAGAAATAGCAATGAAATATTAAGGGTTTTAAATTTCGTCATAATTTTAACAAATTATCTATTTCCACATGATATACAATAATGTAACGGTTCGTTATCTGATCTTCCATACAAGTTAACAGTCAGTAATAATGAGAATTATCCCACTGAAGAGGACTGAATTTCGATCATGTACAAGTACAGGAGACGCTGGAGGTGGGTAGGGCAACATTATGAAAATTATTAAGCTGCATCATGAGGCAAGCGCTCACTTGAGATCCTGAAGGAAGGGGGGCCGATCAAAGAACACATTGCTCCGAGAATTGAAAGCAGACATTAAAAATGGACATCACTTAGAAAAAGTTAAGAAGGAGAGCCCAGGACAGAGTTTCTTGGAGAATCCTGGTCAGAGGAAAATGCTCCACGAGAAGTTACAGGCGTAAGTAGGCAAGGCACATCTGTATGAAGAATCCTAAATAGGATGAAACATATATTCTGGATTCAACTGCTAATAACTTAAAATCTACAAGATTAATGGACCTATCTACCGAAGATGAGCATATACTAACAAAGAACAGTCAAAACATTTAGCTCTGAATATTAGCAACACGATGTAATTCAAGCCATTGTAAATGCTTCTATATAGTATGTTTAAACTAAAAATATAGATATTTAATCCCAACTATCTCGAAGTTCAAATCAATATACCGATTTGAATGTTTCGGTTTTCGATATATGGTTTGATTTACACTAACATTGGAACTGCTTTTAACTAAACAGTCTAAGAAAGGTAGTTCGCTACGTTCATCTTTTTTTGAAAGTGAATTTGATGTGTTATGTGAGTATGTTTATGTGTTTGGAGAAATTTCCAAGTCTTTTTAATAGTGATAAATGTGTCATCTATGTATCATCTGAGCCAGATGCGTGGTCTGATTGTGCCAACACCTCGACGTCCGTTAATATTATAAAAATAATAATATTATAAAAAAACTGAACATCTCACAAAAAATTATTGAAGATTGTAAGTTTGTAGTTTCGTACTCCTTCGATAATGAATTTAATGCTAAAGTAAGATCAATTTTTTTATAAATCTATTTTCAATGCGTCCATAGAAAATATTGAGAAACCTAATTTTACTTTTATTTCTAACTTTTCATACGCAAAAGATTTCACAAAGTACATCGTACTAGTATGCTGTTTATTCTTTTTCTAAAGTATTAAAGGTTATCAGAGCTGATCTGTAAAAACGAACTAACATATTTTATTTACAAATTCAAATCTTCAAATAGTTTAAAACGAGGTACTATTAAGAAAGATAGTAGTATATTCGGTAGTTTAACAGATACGTTTCAGTTATCTTAAAACAATCTTATCAAGCCATGATCACTACTATGGATTTTAAAATATCAACATTTTTTCACTAAATTTCGTTCAAGTTAGAAAACTTTATACCCTGCCTAATTTTATCTTTTCCTCACATTGTTCTTTGAAACTAATTGTCCGTTCTAAAAAAATAGTTAGCTTATTTGTATTCTAGGTTAATATACAAAGTATGTAATCGATAATACTAAATATACAATTAAAACATTAAAAGGTCTTTTGCAAGAACCTTCATATTTCTTAGTTTGCGTCTATTGTTGAAGGGTCAATGTATTACTGTCGACATGCCATCTAATAATAATAGTATTATATATGAACTTAATATTACCATTTATAACCTGTTATAAGTAACTTCTTCTGTACACATGTAATATAAAAAGTTAGAAAACTCTTCAGACAGTTTACAGGTTTGAACTTCGTTTTACAGTGTTGCGATCCAAGATCGCAAATGGTCAGTCTCCGTTAACACATGAACATTGTAAGACGTTTGAAGCTTAAATAAATTAGGCTGGAATTCTAGTACGAATATTAATATCGTGATGTGTGTACAGTTGCATAAAGAGTACGGAATAGGACGAAATGGGTGTCCTGGATTGAATGGACAACCGAAATTGGAGAGACTACAATTTATGGACGAACCAATGAAACTAAAGATAGCTAATCTTGGATCTCAGCACGAAGTTCATTAATCCATGTGGCTAAATAGCAATTTGACATTATAACTAATGTTAACTCGTGATGAAAACCAAAACTTTGCTTCTTAATACTAACTTCTAACTTCGATCCTAGCAAGTAAGTTTTCTTAAGGTCACTTTCGGAGTCACAAAGGGGTGTCCATAAATTATAGTTTCACCCTGAAATCCAAATCTACCAAAAATTCATATTGTCAAGTGTAATTGTAAAGCTGGTTAATGTGTCCTTCATTTCCACAGTTACACTCAACATATATTACGAATTCTACCTGTTTATAAACATTTACATTCCAATAATTCTAAATACATAATTAATTTAACTAGCTTGTATACAATACACAGACAGGCACCTTATATATATATATATATATATATATATATATATATATATATATAAACAAAATGTAACTAGTTGACTTACAATAAATGTACACATAACAAATGTAAATGTATGGATATAACTAAGTATGTTTATAGAGATCACTTTATTTCTTTCTTATGTGTACAAATGGATATGATCTAATTACTAATTGGTTGAAAAATACTTAACTCATTCAATCAGTCATTATTTCATTAGTATACAAATATGCATGCATGGTAAAATCTAATTATGTAAAAATGAATATACATACATATGAATGTATCTCTTCCTATGAGTAAAACAGTATAATAAACATTGCTCGCCTAGAAATTACCATCAATAGTCAGACTGTGTAAGTTTAAATCCAAAATTAACATACGAAAAAGAAATGTAGTTCTACAAAATATATTTAAACACCAACTTTTCGCCACTTTTTTCTTTATGCACTTTCATAATCGTTTCTTTTTTGTTTATAAACCAAATTTTATGTTTATACAGAGAATTTACGTTAATTTTCATTAAAAATTGGCATCAGGCGGAGAGAGTACCAATGAATAATGTGTGTGGTTAAGAAATACCAGAAGTTAAACAATAACTTAAACACGAAATAAAAACTGCTACAAAACAATCGAATACGTTTAATGATTTATCCAGTATATATATATATATATATATATACTAGAAGTAGTAAATGAAATGAGATAAAGTTAATCATTCTCGCTCAAAACACATAATTTAACTGAAACTGCATAATTGATGTGCGCTAAACGGATCACACGACCCAATTGTTCGATCCAACAAATACACAAACTGAGACTATAAAAAAACTTAACAAATTTTAGAGTACTTTCGTTATTTCTTATTTTTATTGAGTCTAATCCCCTATTATATCATTTTGCTTTTTAAATGCAAAATGATTATGGAGTGGGGGCGAATATCTTGATCGCACAGGATAGTATAAATTGAGAACAGTATAAAAGATATCTAACTACTTATCATTTTATGATTGAATTTATAAAAGGTAGGAAGTGTACAAAAATTAATTCGAAATTAGATGTGTTTGAGCAATAACAACGAGATAGTAAGAACAAAATAATCTATACATATTCTAATAATAATTCATGGTGCTTTGAATTCTCCTTCATGCTACTTAGAAAGTACAAATGAGCCAAAGTAAACCAAGTTAGGAATGGAGCAGTAAATGACCGAAGAGAAGATTAATGAGGATTGTAGCACATAATAAAGGTTGACTGAAATTGAAAAAAAAAACGATATTGCATTCCAACTCAGTGATGTGAAATATTATGCTTATAACAAGACCTGATGATAGTCATATGGAGTTCGAATGTATATAGACTCGGAACTGGGATGCAGAGTACTCCCTAGTTATGACTAATCAACTAACTGATATTAGTTTTTTTGCGAAAAAGGCATTTGAAAACCATACAAATCTCTCTCACTTATCAGGTATAGATTCGTGTAATGGCTATTGAAACTACACATAGCCCAGACTGAAGTAGGTGGGACGGGATTCGAATTTGAGACTTAATGGCTGAAAGATGAACACCTTATCCACTTAGCCACTGCCTTGAAAGCAAAGCACTACTACAATAACGATTCAGGTTATTCATTGTATTCTACGTTCAATATCTAATTGTCAACAAGTCAAGTGTTACACACCGTTAGTTATAGAGTGGTTTCTAGAATCGATAAGCCAGAATTCTTCTTGTAACAGCATAAACTATGATGAAATCTCATGTTATGAAAGTAGTAGAACGAAAATTCTGACTACTAAAATCAAAATTTCTTAAATAATAAACTTACTAATTATTTTGCGCATATTCTTGAATGATAAGTATTCATCGACCATCTCATATTTGGGAAGAGGGAAGGAAGTGAAGAAATGGAAATCAGCAATGAAAATGATGGTTAACAAAATACAGATATTGAATGACATTAATTAATGATATAATTGAACAGTATGTGTTGTCCAACTATTTGTGCACATTAAATGAGCGAACAGCCAACAAATGTCTAGTAAGTTAAACATATCACTTATTCAGATAGGCTTCAAATCATATAGGTAGTTATACACAGGTGAAATATGGTAAATTCAACATCTACAGCTTACATTTTACTCACGATTAAAATAGATCAATGACACTAACGTAACAATAGCTGATGTAGGTTTGATTCCTTTGAAGAGCATTAGTTCGCATTTAGATTATAGATACTCTCTATTCATGAATGTTAACTAGCACAAAGTTAGCATTCAAACCTCCGATAAGAGTAATTTTTACGAACGAACAATACATATAGTTCAATGGTAGTACAGGTAAAAAATACAGTACCAAAGGGAGAACAACAGAATTATATTTATGTGATCACAGTGACAGATCTGCTTGTTGAACATTTGTTACTGACTAGCAAGACGCTCTCTATAACCCCCGGTAATTTCTACGCTGCAACTCGAACATAAGAGAAAATGTACTAAATGTCAGTAGCAGCTTTACTACAAGCATAATTCTGTATAGAACATGCAATGTAATTACATACTTTCATGTGACCTTAGTCATCCACAACTGGATATAGTAAAAATCTAGGTCATTATCCAATCTTTATTTTTCTAGATGTTTAGAAGTTTCTAGTCAATAGTAGGTGGACAAAACATTTTCAGTCTTTTCCCGGGACACTGGAAACTATTTCGAGGGATATTTGTGGACATACAAAGATTTATATTCACAACTAACAGAATCCAAATCCACCATTTTAACAGGATTGGACAATGTTTTGGTATAGTTGTTCTGTGAACCCTATTTATGTTTTACAATTTCGTTCTTTAGTTATTTGCTGAAGAAGACCAAACTGTCACGGGGAACATTGAAATTATTCTTAATTTCAACTGTTGAAAATTTCACAAATATAATTTTCTTTTATGTATTAAATAAGAATTTCTTTTCTTCAAAACTTGTTTTATAGTGCAGTACATTCTTTTCGAAAAATCATTCGACCTTGATGAATTGTTTACTTGTTGACATTTTTCCTCAGTCACTTTGTGTGTCTATATATGAACTCAAAAGATTTGGAGACAGATACTTTTCAAGACAAAACAAATTGGATAATCAAACAAAGTGACAGGTCAATCAGCAATAATCAACGTGGAGCTCAGTAAAAACTTCAGTTGACCCAAGTTACAATAGGTTTGAACTTATCAATAGTACACATCGATAATCTTCTGTGAAGGATCGTATCCATGAGGGCTGACGCAGGTTTCACAATGAAAAACTTAGTATGTTATTGAAGAGGGGGAATTTGAACAATTTAAAATTAATAGGGATTAATTTGATTTATTCAGTGTCAACTGCTTATTACTTTCTTTCATATTCAACTTCGTTGACTTTGCACGCCACAATATATGAAATAAAACGCTAGAAATTTTATATTTGGAAAAGGCATGACTGATTAACAGAATAGATTACTTTTTGTTGAGATTTGAAGGTGTTCAGCGTTAGACTGTATGGAATTATCATTGTGTATTACTGAGGTCTCATTACGTACTGGAAATAAAGTAAAAACATGTCTCTCTGTTGGCAAACATTCGCCGATCGCGATAAAATTTATCTTCAGTTTGTGTTAAACCTTTATATAAATACAACATCAACCATGATAATACTTACATTAGTTGAATCTGCCACTGAATAAAGGCTATCAGTTAGCGAAAAACTACTTCCAGATTGAGCAAAGCATGTACCGCTTTCTACAACTGTAATTAACAGATAAAAACAACATTACTATTACTATTATAATGAATTTTATCGTGAATACTTGAACTTTACTAAGGCTTTAATTTCTACGTAAATGAATTTTTGAATTGATTTGCGATCTATGGTCAGCCGAGAACAATTGCATAACATGAAAACGAACAATAGTTATACATGTATATAATTTAATGAATTCTCATTTGATGAAATACACTATGAACGCGTGAATTTTATTAAACACGACACATTCATTAGCCAAGCAGTATGAAATCCTACATGCTCAACAATCCATTACTTATAGAATACGACCAGTGTCAATTTCCTTTTACAATCTTTACTAGACCAGTTTTGCAAACAATAAGATTTGTTAGATATCAAAGTTAACTGATTCCTGAATGATAATCAATGTTACGAATAGACATCACTGACAAAGTTTTTGTTGCATAGTAATCACTAAACTGAATGGTGTGAACGCTGTACTGTATTTTATGACAATAAGCATTTTGATTACATTACGTGTTTGTAAGTACCTGCCAGTAAAGGATTCGAAGGTAATGAAGAAATAGATATGGATTATGAAATTTAAAATGATAACATTCAAAGACACAGTTTAGGGCGATGTAGATAATCTCCAACTTACTGAAACTACAAGCATTTACATGTGCTAAACAAGATCAAATTATTATCAGTTGAACAGTTGGTAGCAACATCCACATAATGATTAATCCGCACTATAAATGTAAACCAACAGTACTCATCTGATTGTTCACAGTAGACTTAAAACAAGTATCATGGAATAAACACCATTTGTGTAATAATATGATGCGTCAGGAACAAAAAAACACTGTGAAAATAGACAAAATCCCTAAATGAATTCATTTAACTTAACTATTTGATTATGGCTGATGAAACAATTTCATTGGTTTGAAACTCCATAGAATTATACCAAATATAACAATAGAGTAATTTGAATTCAAGAATCCAAATAGTCATAATGATCAAATTTGGCCGCTATCTGATCGGTGTTAAAAATTATCATTATTAATAATGACAACAATAATCAAAGGTAACTGTTGGGATTCATTTATGGACTAATATTACACATATATTCATGTTGTATATTTATTAGGTAACTAGATTAGGTATAATCATAGTCCTCTTATCATAAGCTTTATTTTGACCTATAGACTATTTGATATAATTTACTGTTTTTGAGTTGTTTCCAGTTTGTTAATTACAGTTTCCCACAATCGCAGCCACTATTTGGCATGATCTTGTATAAATGTTATTTTCTATTTTATGGTGTGATGTGGTCTGTTTGGTTTGTATATAAACCTAGTATGTTTGAAATATGTGATAGATATAGTGGAAGCTGGTATTGGTTTTCTGGCATCAACTGTCAGTGTTAGGCGAAGAAAAGGGCCAATCGGGACTCTAGGCTATTCGTATATGTGTATGCATCATTAGTTGGTTTTATAGGTCAGCGTACCTTAACTGGCAATCGCATTTCGCGATAATCGTATAAGCTAAGGACGTAACAAATACCATACCTTTAATAACAGTAAAACATTTCTGAGCACAAGATGTGAAATATCAACAGCGTCTAGTTTCAGTAAAAAATTTTACCCAACTTTGTTCATTCTAACTAGATCGATTATTTTTTTAAAGGAGAGACCACAAGGAAACTACGTCAACAATAGTGACAGTTCGGTTAGAATTTAACAATGATTAGCTTGTGTTAATGTGTAGGATTGTTATTAAGGCGCATAAGTGCATGTGGTTAGCATATGTAAAAACAAATCTAACATAAGAAACTTTATTGAGATATTTCAACATGTGAAGAGTATATGGCTGAGAAACTTCAGCTGGTTATCATGCTACTTTATGATGACAGTTTTCTATTAGTGTTGATACATGACACAAGCTTTAAGCAATAAAATCATCCACCATAATATTATACTTGGAACCGAAAACTGTTCAGTCATTAGGGAACATCTAGTCTATCAGTGGACAAACACGATAACATATGAGATCGAACGCAGCATAAACATTTTTATGTACCTTTAGATCACTGGATTCATAGTATTAATTTTAGTCAATTCTTAATGTAACATGATCGTCAATTAGAGACAGAAAGGTTATATGACTGATATAAAGCTAGGAACCAGCACAGTAGAAATTTTTATCTAACAAAAAACAAGTTCAATGCTGAATAAAACAAAAGCAACCAAGTATCTAATCTTACAGTACACCACGCTGAATACATAGAAACACTAGTATGTAACTATTTTTTTAAATAACAAAAAAGGTGATCATACAGACTTAGTGGAGAATGCAATCGATATGATAGACATACAAATACAAAGACAGAGAAACAGAAAACACAACGGCCAAGTCAATATAGAATGACAATCAATTATTTCATATATGCATACATCTAGATCTATAGTCAGTCGTTTTAATTGCTTTGTGAACTATACTAAGAATTGTGATTAACTAAATATGTAGAACCATAAAACAATATGATGTTGCGCAGACGCACAAATACTAACATTATTTGTTCACAAATTCATGAGAAGGTATTGTTACTACCACAGATAAACATAATCATGCAAACACACACAGAGAAAACACGACGAAATTGATACAAAACTACTTTTTTTTCATATAATTTAACAAAGTTATATATTTTCAATCAGCATCGTATTTTCACATAAATACAAATATTTTACAATTAAAAAAGTGGGCCATGTTTGTAAACAATAATACTGACAAAAACAATAAGAATTAATTGTTTAACTGATACATTTTATAAAACTTATGAAGTGTTTATGTGTGTTCAATACGTTAATTGATGCTGTAATTGACCAGAAATATATTCTTAAGTAACAAAAGCGTTTACTACTGCCGGCACATTATATGATACGCATACAAGCGTCTTAGTAACAAAATCATCTATATACATACATACTTTGATTGAATGAAAGTTTGGGCAAGTTAGGTTCAAACTTTAAATTCACAATAACAATATTCTTGATTGATGAATGAATAAAAAGATTATTTATTATTCCAGTTTAGCTTATTCACAGAGTGAAAATAAAATGAAATAATTGTCAATATTGGCTTGTTGAGATTGTTGAATTTCATTGAAATCATGAACCAGGTTTCAATAGCTGTCTACCTTAGACCGGTTCGTGATTTCGACAAAAACATAATAAGGTCGAATATTAATATTGCTTAATAGATAAATTACTGAATGAATAAAAACAAAGAAAGATCTACATCAAATATGTCAGCCTACTCTTATTTCAATATGATTATACGGATGTCACTGACACATAACCAATATCATTGACTATCTAGTATTTGAGGCTGATCGAATTCTGTCGACCAAAGTCCTCCATTCGACTAGGTCACGGTATATCTTATTTGGTGTAAAATTATGGACAGCTACTGACAATCAATTTCACAACATAAAATGATCTAATATATAGTGATTAGTTAGAATAGACATCATAGTTCGACAGTTCTTAAAAGTAACATTCATAATTACAGCAATCCGAATTGCATGTGAATTACAACTTTCATCACGATTATAATATATATCAACCGACCTAGACTTAGAGATACAGTTCACTTCCATTAAAATAACCATGAGTTACGCTGAAACAAAATGAAGCATTCACTATATTGTATTTGTTCGGAATCATAAGTCAGTAAGTCAGTCAGCTACATCGTAGGACCATGCACATATATGGATCGGTCCAGGTTGTCATACCTCATAAGCACAACAAGATGAACACCGGATTCATAGGAGTGGTTAGGTCAAAGGTGGCAATATATAAAAGAAAGATTGCATATAAGGATACAGTACAGGAAGAAAGAATTAGTTAGTAGAAAGAAAGATATGAAGCAATTTTAATCTCTTAGTTTAAAGGAAGACAGGGAGTGTATACACCTACGCCATTGTGATCGATTCTGAGCCATGTCACCAAGTCTCCAACCATTGGTTACGATAGTCACGCGGACCCCAACCAAGTAGTCTGCATCTACCAACATGGCTCAGACTAGAAGTTAGTGTCTTCAAGCACTGATGCCACGTTTTGGTTTGGCCGCCCCTAACTTTCTTCCAACCATCTCCAACACCCGTTAGCATTGCACGTCGTGGTAATCGGTATTCAGGCATACGCAACACGTGGCCCAACCATCTCAGTTGATGAAGATTCACAACCTCATCAACTGATTTACCATCATTCCCTAATACCCTGCGTCTAACCTCACTATTACTTACCCGGTGATCCCAGCAGACGCCAGCAATATTTCTAAGGCATCTGTGGTCAAATACTAGTAGCTTACGAGTATCTTCTAATCTTAATGGCCACGTTTCTCAGCCGTAAAGTAAAACGGAACGAACTGCCGCGCAGTATACTCGTCCTTTTATTGATAGACGGATATCTCGCCTTCGCCAAAGGTGACGTAAGTTGGCAAAAGCCAAACGAACTTTTCGAATCCAAGCTGAGATTTCGTCAGACACCAACCGATTACGGCTGATCAGACTTCCAAGATAAGTGAAGTTGTCAACGCGTTCGACTACTTCACTTCCTATTCTTAGTTCAGGTGTTGACGCAGGTCACTCCTGAAGCAACAACTTGAATTAAGAGGGAGAGAAGCGCATTCCAAACATTTTGGCATTGCTGCTCAGTGCTATCAAAAGACTCTGCATTTTATCAGCATCTTCACCAAACAGGACTATGTCATCCGCGTATTCTAAGTCGATAAGTGGACCTCCCGGTAGGAGATCAACACCCGAGAATTCAGTCGATGAGAATGTTATTCCCATCAGTAGGTCTATGATGAAGTTAAACAAAAACGGAGAAAGTGGACAGCCTTGACGGACACCACTTGAAGTTGCAAAAGTAGATGAAAGTTCGCCATAAGCTCTGACTCGACTAGTAGTGTTCGAGTAAAGAGCCTTTACAAAGTTTATTTACTTCTGGGGTACGCCTTTCAATGACAGACACTGTCACAGAATCTCGCGGTCTACCGAGTCAAATGCTGCTTTTATGTCAAGAAAGACCACCATTGTCGGACGCCGATAAGTATGCTTGTGTTCTAGAATCTGACGAATGGTGAATATGTGGTCGATGCAGCCACGACCAGGTCTGAAGTCAGCTTGGTTCTCTCGTGTTTGCAGTTCACGAGTCTTAGTTCGGCGTCCGATAATTATCGAGGCTAATATTTTAGGTACTATGTTAATTAAACTAATCTCTCTATGGTTATCACAGGATGATTTTAACCCTCTCATATGTATTGAGACAATCAGTGATTGCAACCACTCAGATGCCAATACGTCCAACAACCAGATATTGGCTAAAAAATTAGTCAACCTAATCGCCAAAATTGGACCACCATCCATAAAGACTTCTGGAGCCAATCCATCTGGACCAGCTGCCATTCCTCGTTTCAGATTAACTATTAGCCTTCTGAACTTAAGCTAGAGTTGTGGGACCTACTTCAATGTCCCATTCACACTGTCTGGGAATGGAGGGTAGTTGTAGAGTAGCTGGAGGCCAGCTGAACTGTTCTCTAAACTGTTCCGCCCATCGTTCTAAACGTCCTGACTGGGAGCAGATGAGAGTATCGTCTTTTTCCGAAATAATCTCACTTACACTTGACTTATTAGTTCCGGTTTCTTTTATTAGTCTGTAAAGCTGTCTTGTGTTCCCTATATAAATTCAAGTGAAGGATAACTTATCAGTAAGAAATTAGAAAATTATAAAAAATACTCATTACTGATGGACTACGGACACTGATAACTTAGTGTTTTTAATTATCGATCGTCTTACTGGAAATAATAAATGGTCTGTAACTAAAAATTAACTTAGTTACCCCTCAATGTGATAAGATAAAAAACAAAGTGATTTCTCTATCACATTCATACATATTTTCAGTTCTTGATAAACCATAAACCAAGCTATTGCATAATGTAGACAAAATTAAATGTTTGCACAAACGGAAATAGAAACTTTTACTACGACAGATAGAAATTCATTCATTTATATAGCATGGAGGAAAAATGCTTACTATTCACTTATGAAATACATAACATTCTGCTTAACTTCACTTGGTGTTTTTTTACTTATATCTTCCCATTGTTATTTAGGATTGCAATTCATCAGTCTGTTGTTGGCATATGTGCATCCTGTGCGGATTGCCTCGATATGGCCTTGAGTCACAATCTTTTTAAACCAAGATGGATAGTGGCCAGCAGTGGAATCTAGGACGCGCGTTTTGTCCTATTTGAAACTCGTCGGCTGGATGTACATGCATCCCAGAGGTGACGTTTACTACGGAACTCGGACTCAGTAGCGTTTGCTTCAAATGCCATCGCGTTATCCACTTAGTTAATGATTCCTGAGAGCCACCTGCTATCAGGTACTGGGTTTGAGTCCTGGAGTGAGCATCAACTTTGGGATGCAGCTGACGGGTCCCAAATATGAAGGAACGCGTCCTGGATTCCACTGCTCACCACTATCTATTAATTCTGCTTAACTGTTCCAAATTAACCTTAATTAATAAACAGTAACAATGAACACATTCAATTTTCAGGTATCATTATTTACAAGATCAGTGTCACCTGTATATAAATATGCGTATAAATTAAAGTACACTTTTACTGTATACGCATATATTACAAAATATTTATTGAGTGTAGAACGTCCTGTTATCAGTTATATAGAAATTAGATGAACTAACACCTATAAAGTACATGCATTAATAAGAGTTTCAAATTATATTAATTTTTATTACCAAAATTGGAAAAAAATATGTAAATGACAAATTTATGAAACAGATGAAATAGCCTACGCTCTGTTACTGGATTAGACGTTTGAACCCCATTCTATCCACATATATTCTAGGCAGAGAGTATGAAAACAGTGCCGCCCAAATTCAAGTACATAGGACTCTGTTTCAGTAACTCAGTTGCAATAAGAAACAGTGAATGAATGATTAGAACTTGCATGGTACGTTACATTGAGTACAGATTACATACTGATGAAAAATTAGTTTCAATTACCTGTAACTAATTAATGAAAGAGAAGCTTTTTAAACTCAGAGTTGATTTACACTTCACATGTAAGGGTCAGTGGTATAACAGTGTGGATTGTTAAAACAACAGAAACAGATTCTCAATGAAAACACACGAGTCAACAACAAGTACGAATGATTCCCAAGTCAGTACCTTGTATCCTATTAAAGCATATAAATATCCCAAGATGATATATGGTCTATAACTGTAATAAATTTTAACCTAAAAACTATAAATACTCCAGTAATATTATTCGGATTGTGTATGCTACTTATGTCGACAGATATATGAAGGTAAACTTGAAGGAAACAGAAACGGAATTAGAAAGGAATTATGAACTGAAAGAAGCATATAGAATGTCAAGGAAAATGATGAAAAATAGTAAATGGAGTATTTAATGCATGGTTCTTATATTTTATCAAGAGAATCTATAATTTTGTATCAAAATGGATTTAGTTGTCCCACCTGTCTGTTCATTCACTGCAAGATCATGTATCAAGTCTCAAAATCTATAGTAGGAAATATTTAACCTTATCGATCAAAACCTTGGAATGATGATTTCTAATTTACTGACCTCACCTCGATTACCTTAACGCAAAGTGGTTGAAAGAGGCTTCAAATATGAGTCTGGATGATTAAGCGGCTAGTACTTTAACTGCTAAGTTACTGAACAATAGAGAGAAGAGATAATGAAACACAAGAAAGCGATTGTATTGTTTGTGGTAATTAAATCAGAAACACAGTGACGTAATATTTCGCCGAGACATTTTCCGATGTAGTCGGTGATATAGTCATACCTGAATTCATCCCTTAAATGCCCTGGTACGGCCGAGAGTGAGGAGAGTCCGCTCTCCCTCTCGAAATGCTCTCACATGGTCACGTGAACACGGGCTCCAGGATCCTGAAGGAACAAATGGTTTATGAACCAATCGTTGGTCCCTGGCTACCATTGGACTGTATCCCTTACGTTGCTCCACTGCCTTGTGGATTAGACCTTTAGGTCGAAGGCTCGGGGTGTGACCCATTAAGGAGACCACCTGCTTCGGTCTGGGCACTTGGGCAGTATCCCAGACCCCACATTAATCGAATGATTTATGTGGCGCATATCTATTATTACTTTCTTGTATCAATGTTTACGTGTTTAAATAAATAAATCAGCTAAAATTAAGAAAAAAACATGCTTCACATGAAATGAAAACATACAATTCAGTTTTCAACAACTGAGCTATTCAAAGGCCATCTGGATGATTTTAACACGTAAACAAAATATGGATGCAAGCTAATCATAAAGTAAGTTAGTCACTTAGTCAGAGCAGAGTACAACCAGCTACTTACATGCATCGGTTCAAGTTGCCACATCGACATCGTCAACCTATGGTTACCTTAATCGTGAGGACACTAACCATGTAGTCTGCATCTAGCAATACAGATCAATTAAACAGGAAATGACTCTATGGACTGATGCCACATCTTGGTTTGACCACACTCAACTTTTTTAAAATCCACTCCTGAAATACGGATGGTTGACATTATTTCAATTTTATAAGTCTGTTAAATTAAGTGCTAGGACAAAGCGTTAACAAATAGATACTATGAATTCTTCATCAACCAATAATAATAAATACTTACGACTGCTTTCACGACATAGCATTGTTCCATCTAAACATGTTGAATTCATACGTGCACCAGGAGCCGAGTTCACAATACTGGAATTTTTATCATCAACAGTACCATAACACACTGATTGATTAGTAAAATGTTCATTACCGCTTACACGTGGATAATTGGTACCATCGATAAGTGGATCAGGAGATTTGCCATCATATAATCGTAAATAAATCGGATTATAAGGAATTGACAAAACTGTAGTATCATAACCAGCATTTACTAGTGATTCAGTTATTTTATCTGATGAAAACAATAGATCATCATTTATTTCAAATTCAGTTGGATAGCTGTTTGAAAACAAACAAACGACGGAGACATTAATTATTACCACTATTAATCATAAGAGAGAATACACAGATAATAACTTTGATAGATGCCACGACAAAAAGATTTTAAGTTGAAAACAATTGTGACTTGGGTGGCGAACCACATTGACAATGATGAGGTAGTAAATAACTGATGACAAAAAGTGAAAATAGCACTATAGTTAATTAAAAAAACAGAAACCATTGGATATTGACTCACGGTATCGTGGTCATCATTAGAAATGAGGGTTACGAGTTCTATCGTGAGTGAATTAATGTATGCATAATGCTAACCAATGCTGGTGTAGGAGTAGATTTTAAAAACGTTGAGTGTGGTCAAACCAAGATGTGGCACCAGTCCATAAAGTCATTTACTGTTTAACTGATCTGTATTGCTAGATGCAGACTACCTGGTTAGTGTCCTCACAATTATGGTAACCATAGGTTGACGATGTCGACTGACATGTCCGAGAATCGGTAACAATAACGCAGATGCATACATCCTTTCTCTTTCATTAGATCCTTGACGTCGAACGAATCTTATACTTTTTATTCAATGAATTCATTACATCTAAAATAATCTTGTCCATGCCAAGTTGATTCTACCAGTATTGATATTAGTATTACTTTTACTACTGTGATATATTACCTTGTTGTGCTAATGTAGTGTGGCAACTTGAACCGATGCATGTAAGTAGCTGGTTGTACTCTGCTCTGACTAATTAACTTATTTCACCAATACCAAGACAATGTTTCATTAAAAAATAGTATCAGCTGATGATTTATGAAAAATCATGGTGGAATTAATGTTTTGGTCGAGGTTTTTTGTATATAAATGACAGTTTTTATTTTCCTCAATATAGATTTAACTTTTATTTTGGCTTTCTATCTTTAAAAAAAGCACTTTAAGGTTCAGAACTCGTGCTTATGTGAGTAAATTATGCCCAATTATATCCATTTCATCAACAAATTGTGACATCATAGCATGAAGCATATCTAAACTTGTAGTGCCGACGTTGTTGTTAAAGTATTCAGTTTTATATCAGTAGATCATAGAATCAAACCTCGCTCCATCTGCTATTTTATTGAGAGTAGTCGGGTACAAAGAATGTCCAGTGAACAATTATTTGATTGGATTTTTTTATTTGGTCCAGTTAATTAGAAATCTACTGTCTTTAGTCTTCCGATTGTACAATATCAGCATGTGTTTGCCATAGATTTTAAAAGAAAAACTCATTAACTAGGTACAGATTCGTGTAACTGGCTATTGATACTACCCGTCGTTCTAACGAAATTATTCGGAACAGGGTTTAAATTTGAGACTTAATGGTTGGAAGTCAAAACCTTAGCTACTGAAACATTACTCATCAGCGACTGATGACAGTTTTGCAGTAAATATTATCTGCATATAGTTAATTGACATAGACGAATTGAAGAAAAACAAAAATTGATAAATAACATACGTGAAGTATCAAAATAAAAATTACCTATCCACAGTATTTGTTCGATTAAATGCAACAGAAGGCAGTAACCACGGTGCTATGTCTCTTCGACGTTGAATAACCTATTTAAAGTGGAAGAAAATAAGCCAAGTAAGAAATCCGACAAAAATATAGTGGAAAAATCCTTGAAGTTCATAATACATAAATGCGATTAGTGGGGACTTGTCAAATTTGAAGATCATGAATTAACATCTGCTAAGGTGCCACCGAAATATAGAGAGCAGTAAATATATATGTTTCGCTTCTATTTTAAAACATTTCATATGATCCCACTTCAGACTGCCCTCAAGATTTCCACGTGTCCTGAAGATCTAATGAGAAGACATAATCAGTGTCACGAACCGCATCGGAAGTGAAGTGAACTCCCGTTAATTATAGTAAATTATGATCGTGTAATTATGCAAACTAAAGACGCTTTATGAAATTCAAGCGTTGAAGACAGAAATCTGAATGCAGAAGTAGCATATTCAAAATCTAAATAAGCCTAATTTCTCATGATTTTTCCTACTCAACAATATGTTATTCTTAATAACTTCATTGTTTTCATTTCCTCACCAACTAGATATTCGCCAAGTGGACAATCAGCTTCCATATATTTAAACGGTCAACTACTCACTAACTTTATCTATTACACAACCTTCCGGTAACATTGGAAATTTCTTAACACTTTGTGATGAAGCCACCTTCTATTTATCAATAGACTGACAAACATTTTCTAAATAGTCATAAAGACAATTGTATAGCTCCAGTAAATGATATTGTCAAAAAAAATGATAAATTTGATTCGTCAAATTATTTGTAATCATTTTTCAGTTAGATTCACTTGGTATTGTTTTGCTTGTATCTTCCCATTGGGGTTTTAAGACTGCAATTGATCAGTCTGTTATTGGTATATGTGCATACTGTGCGTATGCCTCGATATTGCCTTAATTTACAAGCTTTTTTAATTAGTCTTAGGTTCATCGCATATTAGGATTGTATCAAGCTTACCAAAAATACATAAAAACCATGGATACAACTCCTATATAAGATAGCAGGAAGGAGCAACTAATGGCTACCGAATGAAAACAAAATAGTTGCCTAGTTCTTAAAAGCGTTCAATGGTTCCCTAAATGATATGAGCTTTTGGTGACGTATTTATAAAATATAACAGAGATCATTGATAACAACATTAGACTGAGGATATAGACCCGAGAACACCGTCAATATATTTTCATTCATCGTATTCACTATTATATATATATATTGATATACTACTATGGAAAATAAACAAAAGTCACTTACAGTATAAATATGTTCACTAAGTGATTGAAGATTAATCAACTGAACAAGTAGTGTTATTGTACTAGCTAATAATGCATGTAAAGCACAGCGATGTGTTAACGGCATATAAGTATTTTCATCAATGATTTTTGTTTGAACTGCCAAGATTAAACGAAACAATTCTGTAATAACCTGATGAAAAAAATGTGACAGAAAGAATTGGTTTATTAAATAAAAATAAATCAAACAAACGAGAGTGAAGCAAAACGTTTTGTGAAGAAACATACACTTGATAAGTTTTGTATCATCTACTATTCCACGATTCACAACTTCGATACAATTATAAAACAAAACAAAAGATATAAAACAAGTTAAAAACCATAATCTTGCATCCAACCGTTGAAAAAACAAAAATAACACTCAGAAATCCTATTGGAGATAAGATGTAAGCTGATTAATAAATTACGAAACGTGAGGGTATATAAAGGAATCCGATTCAGATACCTTTGAGAATAGACGAGTAAGAACGCAGGTATCAGGGCGTCAAACTCAAACTTACAGGTGTAGTTCCTAATTCAAAAAAAGAGAATTTTAAGTGTTTTTATGGCTAGTTCTAACTGAAATTCTAAGAAACTGGATTTTCGAACACTGAATATTAAGGAAGGAAAATAAAACGTTCCCAGAAAATCTAATTCACATTACATAGATTTGCTAGCATTGATAGAATGATTAATTACAGTAGTTGTGATGATAACGCAATAGGATTGATTTCAATTGAAACTTAATATCAACAATCATACTAATAAAACGGGATATTAAACGAGGAAGCCGACCTGTATTATAATATGGGAGTCAGAAGAATTCAGAACGGAAGTTTCAGATTACGTGAAACGCAAAACGCAATGTCCTAACCACTAGACCACAGCGACCTATGTCCCCCAATGCCCTGGTACGGCCGAGAGTGAGGAGAGTCCGCTCTCCCTCTCGAAATGCTCTCACATGGCCATGAGTATATAGCCTCTGCCAGGGAAGTGCTACTCACTGCCTTCTCGTGGTGTGGGTGTTGCTTACGAAATTGAGAGGACGAAAAGTGAATGTCCGGCACTTTAACCGGGTTGGTGAATATGGAGGATCCAACTAGGGGAGTTACAAAACTCTGATTCCAAACCAATGGTGAACACGGGCTCCAGGATCCTGAAGGAACAAATGGTTTATGAACCAATCGTTGGTCACCGGCTACCATGGGACTGTATCTCCTTACGTTGCTCCACTGCCTTGTGGATTAGACCTTTAAGTCGAAGGCTCGGGGTGTGACCCATTAAGGAAACCACCTGCTTCGGTCCGGGCACCCGGGCAGTATCACAGCCCTTACAAATATCAAATGGGAATTGTGTGTCGCATATGTATTTGGTGCCTCCTTGTACTAATATCTACGTGGTAAAATAAATAAATAAATAAACGTGAAACACATCAATTGTAGGCATTCGCTGTTAGTGGTATGTAGAATAACTAAAAAATTTGACGAACTGAATAATATTTGAAACGCTTACTAAGCCGTGTGACCCTGATTTAACTAATCATTCTTAATTTGAAGATGTGTGAATTGCCAATCGATAAAAGATTGTCATTTACCGTACACACACAATCGTAATTGTTACCTTGTTCATTTAACAAGTCATGTAATACTTTTCAGTGTATATGCACGTGTACGTGCATGGTTTTGGTAAACAATTGGTTCAATAATCTTACTTTCAATTATTATACTACCATTTAAAAACTCAGAAACAGATAGCATCGTAAACTGCTCCGTGTTCAAAAGTCAATAACTGAGCGTAATCATGATTGTGTGTAATATTAACTGAATTCAATCAGATATCTTTAGTTAGGAAAGATTAAAGTACACATATACGATGTTAAATCACAACGAACTCATCAGCATTTACAGTAAGCTGAATCCATGTACACCAGTAGACAATAAGTCTCCATAGAAAATTAATTAATGTCGTCGAAACATAAAGACAAAATAAATTTTTAAAACGGTAAAAAACATTTTAAAACTAGATAGATTAAAAATTATTAAGTTTCAGGTACACGAAGATTGCTGAATTAATAGTGCGCTGACTGTAAAACAATATCATGAGTTGATTTATGTTTGAAATATGAATCACTGGATTTTCGACTCAATGTTCTAAAAGTATGCTGCCAACCGCGAGAATTGGAGGTTTTACGCTCCACCTTATGTTTGGTTATACATATGTGATGACGAAGAATCACAACATAGACAGTTGTATAACGATACACCTTAATTTCCATTCAATTATGAAAATAAACTTTGGGACAAAAAACTATCCAGTCAAAACAATTTATTGTCTATAATATGAGAGTGGTAACAACTGAATAATGATTTTTTTACGTCTATTATGATAATAAGTCGTATTTAAATCTATAAAACAGTGTAACTGTCTATAAGATACCTACTGTACTTCAATAGAATATTAAAAAAGGATAAAGTACATTTAATATTTTTGTACTTAGGATAGCATACAGGGTAAAATGGTTAACTAAATCCCATGTAAAGAAAAATTACAACAACTAACCTGTTCTGCACCCATTTCTAATGCAACCAACCCAACAGTGCATGACAGATATTCTAAATTGTCTACTTTGTTACTAGGATCTAATAACTGATGATAGATATTTTCAATGAATAACACACCAGTCTGTGATAAGAAGGCACAAGAAAGAAAGAAATTTAGACGTTACTGTCATCAACATCAATTAAATATATTGATCGTTTAGAGGTAGATGATGCGTCAGAGGATTATATATATCGAACAATAAATAACACTAAACATAAAGTATGCCATCGTGATAAAGAGGGTTCAACTTTATGTATACACTCCGCCCTATTTGATTGTTTGGATATTTGTCTCATGACAAAAATAATTAATTTGGACACGTCAAACATTTTAGGTTTTCTTCGTCAAACAACAAATGTCGTTTATGAGCTTTAGTTGAAATTTTAGGAAAACCCTTCGTCATTCAGCAGACACTGATTACTAATACCGATTGACAAGATAGGTTTGTGACCTGTTATTACCCTGAGATTGGTAGATTGTAGATACTCATTAGTTGTAATTTCCTACTAGCATAAAATCTACTTCTTTAGTTTCACCATGTCGATCGCCTCATACCTAATAAGTCGAACATAATATGCATCGCGATGCCCAGTCACTCGGACCAGTATGATCACATTTCAATTTGATGGATAGAATTAGATGGAGATTACGAGACAAACAACTAAACATCTAAACAACTGTTAAATATAACAGAAAGCAATCGCATATTTGCTTTAATGGTAAATTCATCCATAGTGATGAAAAAATACTTTAAAAGTAAAACTGGATGCAGAGATGAAGCATTGGAATATACGTAATCATAATATATAAAATGTAATTCATAAACCAAGTACAGAATTATATACTCGGCTTTGAGTCACACTTCAGGTGCGAAGTCTATATAATACGACTACATAAAACCGATTAGGTGGTATGAAGTTTCAACGTGTTGTCTAATGGTTGAATGTAGAGAATTCTTTAATCACCAAGGCATGGCTCAATAAGTTCCAATTAAATGATTGAAGTATAAGCTAACTTACCTACTTTGAACATTATTTTAGTAGTACAAACGGTTGCAAAAACTTCAAATTAAAGGAAAACAGTGATGGATACTTCTTTAACGTGGTAAGATTACATTCATTTTACTACATTGTCGTTTATTTCGATCCTTTTTCATATTCCAATCATATCATTTTCATTTCTTTCCGATTCATAATTTTAATTCTAATTGGCCGAGTTCAACTGATGTTATTCCTTACTACCATTATTCTGTGTTTAGTTGCTTCAATACGTAGTTGGGTAAAACCTAGTAGCCCTATGAATTTATCTACCATTTTAATGTTCTGGAATTTTCCAGCTTATATTTTTTTTATCTGAATCACTTTTTCCTGACCATATTAACTTTCTGGTTGCTTCGCTCTGTCGTGATGATACATATTAAGTTCTAATCAAATTTGGCTGCATAACTATGTAAACCTATGATAATTTTGATTTAGAAATACTATAGGTTGTAAGTGGCTGATGAGTTCCTAACAAAATCAAATGAATTCATGTTATTCTGATCGAATCTTTGTTTTTCCTTTCATTAAAAGGATAGATACTTATATATGAGTTATAGGTATATTTTCAGCTCGGTTAGCAAAAAAATCTTTCTACTTATTGTTAGATTTCTCAATCAAGTAGTTGCACTGAGTACTCATATAAAAAACGTATTCATCAGTAGTAAACTCGAATGACGGCATAACATAACTGTTAACACCATAGAAAAACAACATATTAAGTGAATGTGCTGTGTTCAACGGTCCGATTCACATATTATCACATACCTAATCCCAGTTAACCACCTATTAAAAAACAGGAGATAAAGTGAATCTTAACTGCCCAAAGCCCAATAGCAATCTTTACATATCAAGGATATTCACGGTTTGTCAAACTAATAGGAAAACTTTGGTAGCCATCTTGGCTATTAATCAGCCCTCATTGTCAACTCATTTTTCATATGACCTTGATATAAAATATTATTTGTCCAACATTATCCAATTTAGCAAACTGATTAAATTTGGATAGGTGTTGAAATTTTTTGATCTATGACAACTCTTCTGAATGTTTCACATGCATATTTCTATGTAATTAAGGACGTTGGGTGAATGGATAATTGAGGAAATCAATAAAACCATGATAATTACTTTTACAGTATACTTTTTGAACCTAGACAATGATTCTCTCTAATGGACATTTTAGTATACGATATTCCTCAATGAGTTTTGTCACATATTTCATTTCCATAATTTTTATGAAACGGAAAAAGAATTGTATTTTCTAGATAATCAGATCAACTTGTAAATTAAGAGGATGATTTCAACAAAAATATACCATCTGTTGTGAAGCTTTCAAAGTTTTTCCACAGAATGTTAATCAGAACAATGTAAATCTCGTGATATATATATATATATATATATATATATATATATATATATATATATATATAGTAAGAAAACAACGTTTAAACAAACATTTATAAAACAACCTAATCTTTAAATAAAGAAAAACGTTTACCTTTTTCATGAATAAAATATCTTGTCTTTCTGGCTTCTCCAAAATGAAATAATTGCTTAATCCATTCTCACCGTAAATACTAAAGCAATAATAAAACACGTAGGAAACAGAAGTAAGACGAGACAAAAGAGTGTTGCAGATAAAATCAATAAGTAATTTTACTGTGCCTTTCAAAATACAAATTTTCAAAATTTTATTTCGCTGGAAAATAATAAATACATATGTAATTGATGGAAATAGATGTAATTTAAAATTACGAAGAGGATCCAAGTGACCCGGTAGTCTTGAATTTGCTTGTAATTCGATTACTTACTTACGCCTGTTACTCCTCGTGAAGAAGCATAGGCCGCTCACCAGCATTCTCCATCCAACGCTGTCTTGGGCAATCCTTTCCAGTAGTTATCCATCCTTTTCATACCTGCTTCTATTCTCCGACGTCATGTATTCTTTAGCCTTCCTCTTTTCCGCTTCCCCTCAGGATTGCAAGTTAGGGCTTGCCTCGTGATGCACTTTGACGATTTGCGCAATGTATGTCCTATCCATTTCCATCGTCTTTTCATAATTTCTTCTTCAGCTGGAAGCCGGTTTGTTCTCACCCACAGAAGGCTGATGCTGATGGTATCCTGCCAATCGATGTTGAGTATCTTGCGTAGACAACCATTTATAAATACTTTCACCTTTTTGATGGTGGTTGTTGTAGTTCACCAAGTTTCAGCTCCGTACAGTAGAACTGCCTTGACATTCCTATTGAAGATTCTCACTTTGATATTGGTTGAAAGTTGTTTTGAGTTCCATATGTTCTTCAACTGTAGGAATGCTGTATTTGCCTTGCCAATCCTCGCCTTTACGTCTTCATCTGAACCTCCTTGTTCATCGATGATGCTTCCCAGGTATGTGAAGGATTCTACATCTTCCAGAGTTTCGCTATCAAGAGTGATTGGATTGCTGTTCTCCGCTTTGAATTTGAGGACCTTGGTTTTCCCTTTGTGTATGTTGAGGCCTACTGATGCAGGGACTGCAGCTACATTGGCTGTCTATATCTGCATTTGTTCGTATGTATGCGATAGGAGGGTTAGTTTCCTCGTTGTATCGTAAAGCTGTTTCATATTTCCTTCTCTTGCAGCTTTTTCTGCCGTCGTTGCTAGTCCTTCCACATATTTCTTCTTGTCGGCTCTAATGCTCTTCTTCACTTGCTTGTTTGCTTCTATGTATTCAGCTTGTTCTTGGACTTTCTCTGTTCGTGTTCGGTTGTTGTTAATTGTTGTCTTCTTGTTCTTCCTTTCTTTGATCTTGTCCAGTGTTTCTATAGAGAACCATTCCTTATGATGGTGCTTCTTTAGGCCCAGAACCTCCTGACACGTTGAAGTCAATGCTTCTTTGATACCTTTCCAGTTTTCCTCTATAGTAAGGCTTGGATCCTGTTGTTGAGAGCTATCTTGAATTCATTAAGTTTGTCAGTATCTCGAAGGAAAGCTGTATGGAACCTTTGTAGTGCTGTTTGTCCAGTTCTTCTTTAGCTTCAGTTTTAAATTGGCCACAACTAGGTGATAATCTGAAGCTATGTCAGCTCCTCTCCTGGTTCTCACATCTTCCATTGTCCTTCGAAACTTTTTATTGATGCGAATATGATCTATCTGGTTCTCCGTGGTGTGGTCCAGTGAGATCCATGTAGCTTTGTGTATACGTTTGTGTGGAAATATTGTGCCCCCTATGACCAGTTTGTTGAACGCACACAGATTTGCAAATCTTTCTCCATTTTCGTTTCTCTGTCCCAGTCCATGTCGTCCCATGATATCTTCATATCCGGTGTTGTCTATTCGGACATTGACATTTAGATCTCCCATCAGAATGGTGAGGTCCTTTCTTGGGCACGCCTCTATGATTGATTGCACCCTGCTTCTCTACCCGGGCTTGGGACCGGCAGTAACTCTAGAAGAGCTACAGGTGGTTAACTGATACTGTTCTGAGAATGAATGATATCGAAAATTTTAATCGCTGAACCAATTCCAGTTTTGTAAATTTTCTGTGACAAAATTAATTATCCTGTGTAAAAAATATTATTCGGAACAGGGAGCGTTATTATCCCGTTTGTTCAACGTTAAACAGAAAAGTTTCTCTACGTTGCCTAAAAAATTTGATGCAGTTACATTGATTGTGATATGGATTGTATTGGTTACGTGGTGAAATGATGTGGTGTGAAATTAAGTTATTATGGATAAGGTTCTTTATCCTCTAACAGTAAATCGATTTTGGACAACGGTGATTTACATCAGTTGTCACAGACAAATACACAATGAAAATCTATACAATATATAAGGAAACAGAAAGCAACTGTAATAACAACAAAATTGAAAAATCATGAGGCATGTAAAGGACAATTGAAGGAAGAAGAACAAGTAAATTGTTTAATGTATGGTTTTCATGATTTACGAAGGCACTCTGTAATTTTGCATTAAACAATAAATTGGTTTTTTCCAACGGTCTTCGTTCATTACATATATACTTGCTAATGGTAATTAGTGTAGCTTGTTAAATGAGCATAGCACTTCGCATCTAGTTATCAATCAAGCTTTACCAATGAGAGCTAGTGATGTTACGAAGAGCCAATCAAAAAATAAAGTGGGTGAGAAGTATTCTGTACAGGCGATCTAGTTCCTAAAAGTTGGATACCTTATAGCAAGCAAAGACGATCGTAAATGTTGGAACGACTATTCACTAACGTTGATAGATTAACAGTACTTGCTAATAAAGAACTTAAGAAAGAAGGAAATGGTGTGAACTACAAACGAGAACAACGTGAGATAATATAGATGTTGTTTTATGTAGTTGAAAGATATACGAATTAATAAATCATGATAACGAATAAAAAATAGACAAACACCATCAACATATAGCGTGGCTCAGAGGTTCTTTGGAACATATTACAAACCCCATTAAAACAGCGATATAAAAATAATGAAAGGAAACGAAATAATGTGACAAAAAGGAAGACTAAATATTGAGAATATGGTTTGAAAAAAACAAGGTGGAGAGGCAGGGATAAAGGAATACAGGAATTTAAGACCGAGAGAAGATAAGGAGTGGATCCATCTGGGTTATCGTGAGCGATTCTGAGACATGTCCAACAAAATCACGAAGTATTTATTGCGGTCATCTCGCGGACCCTAGCCAAGTAGTACCTATTTACCAGCATGGATTAGACCAACAATTAACGACTTCGTAGACGGAGGCCACGTTTCGATTCGGCTTTGCTAGCTTTATTTATTTATTTAAACACATGAACATTGGTACAAGGAGGTACCAAACAGATATACGCCACGTAAATCATTCGATTAATGTGAGGGCTAATTGCCCAAACCGAAGCAGGTGGTTTCCTTAATGGTTCACACCCCGAGCCTTCGATCTAAAGGTCTAATCAACAAGGCGGTGGAGCAACGTAAGGGATACAGTCAGCCAGGGACCAACGATTGGTTCATACACCATTTGTTCTCTCAGGATCCTGGAGCCCATGTGCACCAATCGTTTAGAGTCGGGCTCTTTGTGTCCACCTCTCTAGCTTCCTTCCAACGTACTTCTGATGGATGAGAAAATCTCTACAGAAACAGACAGTGGCATGTTTAATTTTTTGATAATGTATACCATCTACAGCACAAACCAGTTATCTAAATATCGACTGTGGTGAAATGTACAGAAGCGCACTTTGTCCAACTATAAAATTACTTTGATTGTTTATCAGAAAAGGATATCTAATGAATGTACTGGACGCATTACATGTACTTCTGAGGTTAGACATTCAGCGTTGAAATAATTGAAACAAATATTAGATCTGCATAATCTTAAGCCATTTCGACGTGACATGCTAGTTGAAGCCGAATCGAATAAATGCAACGTTGATGTGAATAAGACTTGATGTTAATTCATGAAGTGACTATCTGCTGAACTGAGCCTAGTACAAAATTTCATAATCTGAATTGTTAATAACAGTTTGAAATATTTCCACATTAATTTTGATGCAACTCATTTTATTTCCATAGTTTCGAAACTGTTAATATGTCATGTTTACCTCTGTTAGTGCGTATATATCTAGTATGGAGTATCACAACCACTAAGCACATAAACTATGATAACAACAAAATTAACAATAGTAGCACTTTTGATAACATTCGACTCACCGAACAGTCAACAACTGTTCTGTATTCCCATGTCGATCAATTAAAGTATGTAGTATTTTTTGTACAATTATTCGTATGACGGGATCTGGATCAATAGCGACACCACGTAATAAAAGATTTAGAAAGTCCGAATTCAATGCGTTCGATATAGCAACTGTTTTATATTGTGTGGCGACAGTTAGCATAGTTTGTAATAGGACCATAATTAACGGTTTCGGACGATCACCATACTCTGGATGATAACTGTTTAAAGAAAAGGAATAATCAAAGTACAATTGTTAAAGAGAAACTGAAATCCGAGACAACAATCAGTTATAATTAATGCAGGCCCTGTCAAAAATGTGCGTTAGCTTAAGTTGCCCTACTACAATAACGGGATAAAACGTAATATGACATCAAAGTAGAAAAAAGAATAGTCCGATTTCGGCAATAGCATCAATATTGATAACTTTTAAGCGACACAGCTCATACCTTATATGGTGTATAAATCAAATAACTAAAAAAATAACTGGTAATCATTTCATTGTTTCTAAGAGCAATATTATTTAATATCTCATGCATGAGGCATATTTCCCAAATACATAAAATTGCTTGATTTAATATATACATTCGAATCCAAATATCTTCATAAACAAGAAAAGCCATTACAAAAGCGAACTGAAATACTCGCTATGTGTATAACGAAAAGCGTATCAACTATTCTGAATAACATTTCACATTAGTTTCTGATCACTAACTGAAAAATTTAGTTAGATTTAAATGTAGAATTATTTTAGAAAAGTAGTGATCAACTCCTTAGAGTTATTTAGAGACTTCACTTCATCTGTGTTACATATATTTGAGTGCCGAATACTAGAGACAGTGAAATCGTAGCCACCTCTTAGATTCCAACAACTTAGCGAAATTTGTACATTGGGTAAAAAGAATGTGATAATACAAAAAGCTTAAGTAAGTTTAAGTGTAGATAAAAAAATATTGGTACGTAAAGGTCTACTCAATAGTACCTAATTGAATTGTAAGGTCATTCTCCCATCTAAAGTAAATTCTTTAAACAACCTGAGAATCGATTCATTCCCCTTTTTCCTGAGACCACTGTGGAAGGGAAAAGTAATCTTTCTTTAACTTTAGAATGAAATTTTTTTGAGTTCTGTTATACAGCTCGTGCTGTTGCTGTAATAGTAACGTCATTCCCTGAATTTAAGTATATTGGTTTATTTCTCTCTTTATATTTTCTCCTATCCCATTGAGCCTAAACCTTATAAAATTCGTTTCTATAGTGTTCACACAATGTATAAATCACATAATTTTCCAAATACCGAATCTAAAGTCAGAATAATAGAAAGTAAGATTCATAGTTATAAGTTTCTCACAATTTTTATTCATGATTATACAAGTAAAATATAATTACACATGGACGTGCGAGACAATTTACAGATTTCAGTTAGTTGACATATGAAATAATTTTAATATAACAACAAAATAGTCCATTCATACTTTAGTGGTTGTTTATTTTAGATTGCCAGTTATAATGACTCAAAAAAGATTCTATTACCTAGAAAATTCCCATTACTTACTAACCTACACCCGGAGCACCTCGTCGAGGAACATATGTTACCCACCAGAATTCTCTATCGAACCCTGCATTAAACGATCCATTCTAGTTGTTCCCAGTTGCTATTCATCCCTTTGATGTCGGCTTCCAATTCTCGAGACCCAGTGTGTTCTTTATTCTTCTACTCTTCCGTTTCCATTCAGAATTCCAAGTTGGCGCTTGCTTCGTGGTGCAGTTTGATTATTTCCCCAATGTTCGTCCTTTCTAATTCCAGAGTCTTTTCCTAATTTCTTCTTCGGCTGAAAGCTGGCTTGTCCTCTCCCACAGTACGCTGTTGCTGATGGTATCCAACGAACGAACATCGAGTACCTTGCGCAGGCAATTGTTCATAATAGTGAAAATTCCCATTATGCCATTTGGTAAATAAAGAAGGAACGAATTGAGCATAAGTTGGTAAATGGCTAATTATGCTTTTGAGTGGTCCGTTTTCCAGTTTTGCAAGGAAAATATCAGCCAGTAGAGGGCCCAATGGTGATCCCATGGCAACTCCATCTAGCTGTCTATAGTATTCGTTGTCAAATCTGAATTGTGCATTCATTGTGCATCTGAGAATTAACTGTTTTATCGAGGATGCTGGAATCGGGGTTTCTATACGTCTCTCTGTTAGTTCATTACAAATAAAATCAACTGTTTCTTGTAATGGAATGTTAGTGAATAAAGATGATACATCAAGTGATAACATGAAATTATTCTTGACTGAGAGATTTTTTATGTTCTCAACAAATTCAAAGGAATCCTTGACACTATGCTTGACAATTTCTTTGTGTAATGGTTTAAGAATTTGCACCAACCATTTTGCTATAGTATGATACGCTGAGTTATTCATGTCTAAAACTGGTCGAAGGGGTAAGCCACTTTTGTGTATTTTTGGTAGGCCATATAGTCAATTCGTTCCTTCTTTATTTACCAATTGTTCATAAATACCTGTATCTTTTAGATGATGGTTGTGGTAATTCTTGAAGTTCTATCTCCGCACAGTAAAACTGTCTCGATGTTCGTATTAAAGATCTTGGCTTTGATGTTAACGGACAGCTGTTTTAAGTTTCATATGTTTTTCAACTGCAGAAATGTCACCATTTACATCTGCATCACATGCACATAGTGACGAATTCGACAGTGGTCTTGAGTGCTGTTAGAGGTATGAGGGCGGTTTTCACTTCCCGGTTGCCCACACCGTGGAAGGGTTGTTCTGGAGGTACCTGAAAAGGAATTTGGATTAAAGGTGGTCTTGGTGACCTGAGAGCGTGACCGCAGTGTCCAAGGGACAACTGCTTGAGGTCGGTCACACACGACCTTGTTATGGGTAATTTTTGTGTTAGCTCCGTACTTATTGAGACCTTACCGCCGGAGACGGATATCCGTGGGATAAGGCGAGGTGTGCATTTTTAGGGTCGACGTTTTCTAACCCCACCCCTCCTTGTGGGAAGGCAGCATCGCTGTCATGCTGGTTGTCTGAAGGAAACACCTTACTGCTGTCACACCTCTGTACAGTCAGCAGTACGACTTCGCCTTCGGACCTTGGGTTTGTTGCTTTTAGTCTTACCGCTCTTCAACCGACCTGTCTGACATGGTAGGACCTTGAGGAACGGTTGTTCCAGCCAGTATAGCTCGGTTGCTTCATCAGTGCCTGAAGTCGCTAACTTCTAGTCTGAGCCACGTTGGTAGATGCAGACAACTTGGTTGGGGTCCGCGTGACTTTCGCAACCAATGGTTGGAGACTCTTGGGGACATGGCTCGGAATCGATCACAATGGCGTCGGTGTATACACTCCCTGTCTTTCCTTAAACTAAGAGACTAAAATCACTTCATTCTTTCTGTCTACGAACTAATTCTTTCTTCCTATACTATATCCTTATTGCAACCTTTGACCTAACCACTCCTATGAATCCGGTGTTCATCTTGCTGTGCTAATGAGGTATGGCAACCTGGATCGATGCACATATGTGCCTGGTCCTACGTTGTAGCTGACTGACTGACTGACGAATTCGACTTAACGGATTGCTCAACAATGATCCTAATGGTCGCGATTTGGTACACGATCGATCCTGATGGCATCTAGCTTGTTGATATCAAAGTTAGGCATCCACTGAATCTTTCATTCGGTTCAACAACCCTCTGTTGAAAGCTTTTCCTGGTACCGATAATAGTGTGATGCCTCTGTAGTTCTCAAATTCGCTCAGATCTCCTTTCTTCGGTAGTTTGAAAAGATATCCTTCTTTCTAATCTGTCGCCACCTATTTCCGATTCACAATCTTCCTGAATAGAATGTGGAGCATATTTAAATTTAATTCTATGCGTGACTTCAGTGCATCAGCTGGTATGTCATCTGGTCTGGTTGGCTTTCCCACTCTCGATTGGTCCAATGGCAATACTGATTTTCATGATCGTTTGTGGAGTGAGATTCATATGAATGTCCGTAAGTGCTACCTCGATATCTTGTGTATTCGGCGAAGCTTGTCTTTTCGATAACTGTTCAAAGTGTTCTACCCATCAGTTCCTCTGTTCATGAATCTCACTGACAGGCTTGCTCCATTGTCCTCGAAAGGTCTCTCTGGTTTACCATATTTCCATACCAGTCTCTTCGTTTTGCCATATAGTTGTTTATATTTCCTCCACTTGGAACGTTTCCCGTTGTCATTGCTAGGTCTTCCACGTATTTCTCCATATCAGCGTGCACGTTAGGTTCTCTCTCTTTTCTCTTGTTCGATTGTTGTTGATTGCTGTATTCTTGTTCTTCCTTTCTTGAATTTTGTCCAGGTTCTTGATAGAAATCCATTCCTTATGATGATGCTTCTTGAGTCCCAGAACCTCCTGACACATTGGAGTTAGTGCTCCTTTGATCCCTTTTCAGTTGTCCTCCATTGTAGTTTCTTCTTCTTCCAGTAGATCTTGTAAGGCTTGGAACCTGTTATTGAGAGCTATCTTGAATTCGTTGAGTCTGTCAGTATCTCGAAGGAGGGCTGCATCAAACCCTTGTAATCCTATTTTTCTAGTTGTCCAGTGCTTCTTTAGCTTTAGTTTCATCTTCGGAACTACCAGGTGATGATCTGAAGCTATATCAGCTCCTTTTCTGGTTCTCGCGTTTTCCATTGACCTTGTGAATATTTTAATGATGCAAATATGACCGATCCAGTTCTTTGTAGTGTGATCCAGTGAAACTCATGTAGCTTTGTGCATGCGTTTGTGGGGGAATGTTGTGCAGCTTACAACCATTTTGTTGAAGGTACATAAGTTTACAAACCTGTCACCATTCTCGCTCCCTTCTCTCAGTCCATGTCGTGACCAGAGTACAGCAGCATCTCTCCCGAATCTATCCTTTTCTTTCCAGCTTGGGTCTAATGTATTTCATTGATTCTGAGCACCACCAAATTGTATCTCTTCATTTCCGTAGCTATTTGATCAGTCCTCTCAGTCTCCTACATTGTCCGAACATTCCATATACCTATATTAATTGTTGCCGTGGTGGTCAGAAGGGGAATCGGTCTCGTGATTTTCGAAAAATCTCGGCTTTCTTCTGAATGAAGGTCCTTCAACTCTTAGGACAGAGTTTAAACAGTTTACATTGTTTTTTCTAACTAGAGTTCTCTAATTAATGTCTTTTTCTACGAGATGTGGTTGCTGACCACATGCACAACCCTTCTCTTTTATGCAGGCTTGAAACCGGCGGTAACCGTGAAGTTCTATAAAAGGTGTAAAACCAAATAACAACACTATTAACCATTAACCCCCCGAGTCGAATCCGATTCCAAACTTTTGTTGGGTTTCTTCACAATGTGACTGAAAGTTGAATACTTAAACGTAAACTTAATAAACGAGTTGGGTTTTAAACGTCTAATGTATTTTCCCCATTACACTAATATCCACTGAAAGCCTGAAAATATAAAAGCACTAGATATAAATTCATTAGATCAATTGCATTGTGTTAACCTGAAGATTTATGATTTATCCTGTACAAGTCCCTGTGTTGTTTACATAGATTAAAAGATCTAAATTACAGCAGCAGAACTATACATTACTCTTCAGTTTTTAATAGTTATCTAACTGAATTCATAGTTGATGATAAAATATAATTTTGACCTATACAAAATCACTAGAAATAACCACGTAGCATTACATTAAAATCCAAAGCCTGGCTGTGAAAATGTCACTTGTACACAAACAAATATAAAAAAAATCAGTTCATTTGAAATTATGTAACTAAAACAAAAAGAAAACAATAATCACCACAAAGAATGACCTATTATGACTTGGCATCATTCTCTTTGTTTAGAAGTTCCATTCAAGCATATATATATATATATATATATATATATATATATAGCTTTGTGATCGATATAGTTTACAATAAGATAATGATTACTTATCATGCACAAAAAAGAAACGAAAAATGGATTGAATCATATAACACACCAAATGATTTGGTATTTTTTGTTAGTTCACTTTTCAGTATATAAAGTACAACGCAATATTTAACATGATTATTATTTAAAATTTTTCGAACTGAAACAATGCCTAAGGATTTTCAAAGACTTGAATAGTATTTTAAGGCTATGGTATGTATAATATACATTGTAAACGAATCATATTATATATATACAACCACCGCATACTTCAAACTGAAACCCTGACTCTTGCAATAAAATGTTGGAAGACAGATAGGGATCACCAGAACAATATCTGACACCAGTAGATGAACTTATCAACTATTGCATTGAGCCGTGTTGATAGATAAACATTCTCTATTAGAGGTCTTGATGATTTTTTTAAACAGTGGTGTGAGAGGGTGGATGGCATGTCCCACTCTTTGTTTTCCCTTAGATTTTGAGTTTCAAAATTATCTTATACTTTGTATTCGACGAGTCAATTCTTTCTCTTCGAATCGTATTGTCGATCTTCAATCTTTTCACTATCTCTGATACTGTTACTACTTCTGCTAATGTGGTGTATTTCATGAATTTCATTTCGTTGTGTTAATATGATATGACAAATTCAACCGATGCATATATATATATATATATATATATATATATATATATATATATTCTGGATTTACTGCATTAGCTATTCATTGTTTCATAACAGTAAAAAAGTACAGTACAGTGTGACTATACAGTATGATACAGACACAGAAGCCCGGTTTATTAAAAAAAGAAATTTAAAAAGCCAACAGAAATAGAAAAACGGCAGATTCAATATTGGGACTGTTTATATACTTACTTAACCATTGGCTCAAAATTCAATATAAATTTCAATATTTCTATTTTTTGCGTGTCTGGAAGATTTTTGGCAAATTCGGCTATGGTATTGATAATTGCCTCTTGAAACTGACGTTCACCAGATAATTTTCGATTGGAATCATTAAATGAAGGTTTTTCGGGATCAGATATTTGTGAAGTTTTATCAATACTGGCTTTTAAGATCTAGAAATTTCGGCGTAGATTGGAATAACAGCAATTGAACAAATAAGACAAGTCAGTAATACGTATATTTAGAGACAACCTTTAAAATTTTCACAATAGGTATTCAAAGACTTGTGAAATAGACAATATAAGAAACTGGTAAAGTTTTGAATCCTCAAATAAAGTAGTTATTGTTAATGAATCATATAGTAGTGATATTGCTTAATTACGTAACAAATCTGTGTACATAGATATAAGCCAGGCATTTTTGCATCGAGACTGATTAGATTAACTTCCTGCCTGCATCAAAGAAGGTTGAAGAACGTTTGAAAATGTGACTACGAAGAAGAATGTTGAGAGCCCTACGTACGAAGACAATGATTGAAATAAACATTGCTGAATGTGGTGCTGATTTTTCCTGTAATATTTCCTTACCTTAGGAAATCTTGATGAAGTAATCGTTCAAAATTATGTATATCATCACATCAAATATCACTAATGAAACGGATCGAACATGCTTAACTTATATTCTACTATAATTATGGCATCACTAACCAGTTAAATTTTACATTTATTGACAGAAATCAAAAAGCAATGAGATAAAGGGTGTGGGTGTACAATAAATAGGATTTATTGTTTCAATGACATCGTGCACAAAACAAAGATACAAGTCCTTATTTCATATGTTTACAACATCAACGCTACAGTGCTGATAAACTTCTATCCACCACAAATTTTTGGTGTCCGTTGATCTTCACTGGTTCACCAATAGTTGACATCAGTACTCGTTTGAAACCAAACATGAAACTATTTTCTATCACAAAAATATTAAGTATAAAATGTTAACTACTAATAAGTAACTCGATTCAATAATCTAAATATGTACCACTGACACAATTTAAAAGTATATGAATAATGACATAAATAATAAGTTCAAACTATATAAAGTAATGCTACTTTTACTAACATTCTCAAGCAATATTTTGATTACATTGTATAAACAAAATGTGTATATATTCTAACCACTATCATATATACAGATCAAATGCCCCAATCTACCTAAACTAAGAGAGATAATGTAATTATACCTAGAATTTCAAAGACGAGGCCTGAATACTTAAGTAATTGAGCAATAAATTCACAATTTTCACAGAATGCAACTTTTAGGAGGATATAATTGTAACAGTCGTATTTCCAAATCTATCTATATTGATTGGTTTCCTCTTAACCAAACAATGATAATCGACGAGCCAAGAAAATATGAAAAGTTTATCATGCAGATTCCATACAAACTCTTGTTTTTATCACTGTACATTGGTGCCGTAGCTGTTTAGGATGCATATGTTGTCTATTAGCTTGTCCAAGTCTTTATTTGCGTTAAATCTGGCGAACTGTAGTGGTGAAAGTGTACTAGACAATGAAGAATGTAACAACAATTAATTCAATGTATATTATTATCCCATAATAATTACGTTGGTGCTGTGGTCTTTGGACTGTGTAGTTTAGTTATAAAGGTTTTATTGTTCTTTAGGACAAAATCGCCATCTTATACCCTTTAAAGCATGTATTAATAACGTTATTTAAAAAAAGACAATCAAAGCTTCGTAATTAAACTAATTAATTCACAGCCGACAACATTTCCAACATCCTCATACTGATCTGTAAATATTCTTAATCTGATAATACTTATACTGTCTACTGTAATTATATGACAAATAATAGGAAAAACGGCAATGATAGGAAAATAATCACAGCTATTTACTACATATGTACTACAGTCTGTACATAAAATCCAATTGAGAGAAAAAAACAAATGAAAATTATTTATTCATTATTCTGTTACTGTAATTGCATTTTCTTGAAATTCATTAGCCCCACGGCAATTTTTTTTAAAAAACCCCCACCCACCCTTTTTAAAATGTTTTTTCAACCCAAAATTGCAATATTTTTCATCCCGTTTCGTCCAATGAAATGGCTAGTTTTGAAGTTCGTTTTTAATTTGTTAGTTATGTTTTGTCGGATTGCTATAAAACATCAGTACTTGTCGACGAAGTACATTTTAATCATCATTATGGAGGACAGTAACGTGCCTAGTACAAGCGCTGTTGTTTCTCACGTAACAGAAATAGAGGAAGTCTTTTTGACAACGTTGTTTCTCGTTGCGTTCCCATCGATTGAAGCGTTGAAGTCCGCAATCACAAATTATGAAAGATCAACTTACTGTCATTATGTAGTTCGAGATTCGCATTTGTGCAGAAATGAAAACTCGTACATTAAATTTGTGTGCTGGAGACATGACCGTATAACATCTAGCGGTTCGTCACAGCGGATCAGACGGAGGAGGTAATTTTATAAATGTTATTAACATTTTTTGTCATGAAGGGCTTCCATGAACACTCAATGTCCGGCCTTCATGTATTGTAAGATTATCGACGGCTACTGGACTGTTGTACGTGGGAATGTGCATCACAATCACGAGTGCAATTCCCTGAGGAACCAAATTAATTCATGGGTGCGCAGGTTAACAGAGGCCCAGTTTGAAAATGTGCGACCGCTGCTAGTATCTGGTACTGCTTCATTCCATATTAAGAATTATGCTTACCATTCTTATGGGAAACTACTGAATGATCAAGATATCTATAATATGCGGTACAAAGTGTTCTCACAGGCGAACATTCCTGGTAAGCTATTTGCCAATTTATAATGTAAACGATAGGTGATTACGGGAAATTGAAAGCGCACATAACATCTTTGGGTGGGCGATGCGAATACGAATTAGACGATGAGAACTGTCTATCGTACTTTTTCTTCAGCACTGGTGATCAAAAGATTTTTGCAGACCGTTTCGGTGATGTTATTGGTTTGGACGGAACATACACGACGAATAACGAGAATATCTATTTATATCAGGTCGTAGCCCTTGATATGAATTTGAAGGCGATACTCGTTTGTATTGCATTTATAAGTCGCGAAACATCGACTTTGATTTCTCGATTCCTGTCGTTCTTCCAACGGTTAACCAACAGTCGACAGGTGGTAGGCATTGTGACAGATGATTCACCTGCAATAGCTGCTGCCATCATGCAGGTGTATCCCAAAGCTCACCATATCTTGTGTCGCGTCCACCTTGTTCGCAATGTTATAAAGAGGGTAAGTGTTTCGTTCATTAACATTAACCCAGTAACCTTAATTGTAGAGGGTACGATCAGAAGTGATACAACTATTTTTTCGCCTGATGTTTACTCAAACGGTTGAAAGGTGAATCAAAAGCAACATAACATTATTTTGTAGTTTTAACAATGTATTATCCTTGATCGAAATATCGGACGGAACGTTTGCCCGATATGTCAGAGACCACCTATTTCTTAAACCAAGCCCGATGAAAAACTCAGTATAAATTATTTTATTTATATTCATATAAGTAAATCCGGCAACCGTATCCTCTTTGCCACACTAGTTTATATATATATATATATATATATATATATATATATATATATATATATATATATATATTGAAGCCCAAAAACTATGAATGAAATAGTTATTCAGTGCTACTTCATTACCAAACAATTATCATGGGATGATGTTAGTTCATCATAATGAAAACGAATGAATTGACTAAAACATTTTACTCAGATAAAATGTGAATTGTATTATTCGACACAAATCTATTTAATCTTCGTTGTGTCCAAAAATTTAACAACATTCAGAGCAGATAATAGTATAGTTATCCTTTCTGTTTGTTTACTTTTTATCAATTCATTATTTTTTTTTCCATTGAAGTGAATTAGATTTTATTGTTATTATTGACCGATTTAGGATGATTATCACCATTCTGTTGTTTTCGTTTTCACTTATTCTCACCAATCACTACCTTGTAGATGAATATTAATAAAATAGACCAACTACTTCCAGAGTTGATGTGTTAAGTGATGTAAACAATTAGTCACCAATGTTAAATACAGCTTGATACGTTTGATCACGTGTGGAAAGATGGCGCTTAGCGGTAAACACAGTTACCTTTTCGTTGTCTGACCACCACTTTAAAACCAAATACAACTAATTCAACAAGCACCAAATTGATTTTCAAGACAACGAATTCGGTTTTGGTATGTAAGTTCTATAGATTTATACAGCTGAATTATGATTTAAAGTTGGGTACATTAGCATATACAAGGGTAAACAAGTAACATTACTATAAATATTACCCTGTGCTTTATTGATTCCAGACAGATTAGAACTAAAGTGCATGGAATTTAGTCCGAATCACAGATTTCACATAGAAATTCTGCATCTAGCTATAAAAAAAGCCTTTTGAATGAATCCCTGACTAACAGAACCTCTTGTCGTATTCGTAGAAAACAAATAAATTATAAGTATGGGCGAATAATAGAAAAATATATGATAATTACTAATTTACTTAAACACAAAAATATTGCTATAAGAGGACACCAAATACATATGCGACACACAAGTCACATGAATGTGTGTGGGCTGTGATACTCCCCAAGTGCCCAGACCGAAGCAGGTGGTCTCCTTAAGGGGTCACACGTGACCATGTGAGAGCATTGGGAGAGGGAGAGCGAACTCTTCCCACTCTCGGCCGTTCCAGGGCATTTGTGTGGTTCAAGGATTATTTCAACGATACTATATGAACTTAAAATTCTAGAAAAACGTAACCACTTTTTATTCATAAGTCCGAACAAATTAGGAAACAAAACTCCCTGATATACTGTGAACTAATGCTCAAGGCACAACACAATCGACACTACAACACTAAAACAGTTATAAGTATTTTAATTTAGTGTGGTCTGATTGCCGTTCGAATTGTATGCTTTAACAGAATAGATTGACTATGAAAGAAAGTGGGAATCAGGATGGAGGTTTCGTACTGTTTGGTACTTGTCATCCGGATGCACTTGTATTTTAGTGTTTTTTTATGTGGACACTCAAACCTAGTGTTTTTCGCTGGAAACGGCCAAAACGTTATCCATCTACATAGTCACTAGCGTATTTAAAAGATACGGTTAAATCGCTTACATCAATGCTTTTTTTAATTTTGTGTACATCACCATTCTATATTCCTAGTGAATACGTCTTTTTTTCCTGAGAAATGTATTTCCCACTCTCAAGAAGAAGGTATCTAATCAGTTTATTATTAACTTCGAAACAGTCATAGACAATACCATTTATCTAAAATATTACAAACACAAATATACAGAGGAAAAAAGGAGTGACTTACTTGAAGTAATGATTTGAAATTATGAAATACATCTGGTCCGATCGCTCCCTTTGCTAAGCTAATTACAACTAGTCCGATAACCTGTAGATTTTGAATTTCAAAAAAGAAACAGATGATAACTCATTTGTTACGGAAAGTTGAGTTTGACTGATCAAATTTCAACTGATAAACTATAGATAAATATATGGATAGATATCTACTGACATTCAATCAATCAAGTCTTAATTTATTGGTGGCAGAGTGACCCATAAAGTGAATATCCTCCAATCATTTACGATATTTAATCGCGTTTACTTTTTCGTTAATAATTTGTGTAAGAGCATGTCATTTTATTTTTTTTAAACTATTATTCTAGGTAATATTCTTGTTTTTAGTATCAGTTCATTCAATTGTTGAGTCGACAAACTAGTTCCGTGAGTAGCCATGAACAGACCTTTTTGTATTACTGCTAAGTTTGGAGAGATTATGATATCACCAAAATAGGCTAATGGAACGAAAGTTAGTAACACAACAACAGGACAGGTTACACTATTCACTGCACTCCATCCCTGCTGGCTAGAGGGAGAAGACCAGATTGAACCGAGGGAAATGTATATTCTTCAAGCGGTCGGAAGCACGAACGAACAAGCATACAAACCAAACGTACGCATACAGCACAAAAATCACCTTGCAAAACGTCATAAAATAGCGTAAAGAGAAGACAAACCAAGAACAGTTAATATCCTTTCAAGTGGGCGCTTTTGATGCGAAAATGAAAAATTCAAATTCTCGAAATAAAATTACAAAAATAAAACGTTTACCAAGTGATTTATGGGGATCTAGCATCCGCAACAAATACTGCATTCATCTATCGGTCAACATTCGTTTCATTTATTTTAACAATCGTAAACCCGTTAATTAAATCTGTTGTGAAGATCCAGAAAATTACTCGAAAAAAGTCTAAAGGGGCCTTGAAAACACTGGGAAACATTTTGTCCAGTCAGCATTGAACAGAAGTGTCTCGAAGACATCTAAGAAGTGGGGAGTCACGTGTCACATTTCCGACTGGATGATTACATATCCTACTACTATGCTTAGTAGCGTTCCAGAGGCCCAAAGTCTTCTAAAAAGCTATGAGTACCCTAAATTTTCTGTACACTAGCTAACTTTAGAGTGAAGCGTTCACCACATATCTCGAGCCTTTTCTATCAAATTCACGTTACAGTTTAGATCTAGCCTGTGGGTTACTAGAAGAGCTTAGGAAACCGTATCAAGCATTCAGTCGGAAGATTTATCACAATCCTAAAATAATCTTACATAACAATTTATAAGGCCTAATGAATCCAGTCGTTATGGTAACAATGCACCTAGTTTAAATAAGTATAATCCTAAACTAACAGAAATGAGAAAACAACTTAGATAGAAGTTCACTTTTCTGATTATGGAATGGAGGAATGCGAGTCAAAAGTAATAACAATAAAGTAAGCATATAATCGAAGTTTATAAGCTTCTAATCAAGAATAGCAAAAATCTAGCAGCTATTTGGTAATATGCGAAGAAACAACAACTTATTTGAGGAACATGATATTTAAAAATAAAATTAGAAACACCGATTACTGTAGGAAATGGAATCGATGATAAATGTATTAATAGGGTCAGCAACCACATCCCGTAGAAAAAGACATTAATTAGAGAACTCTAGTTAGAAAAAACAATGTAAACTGTTTAAACTCTGTCCTAAGAGTTGAAGGACCTTCATTCAGAAGAAAGCCGAGATTTTTCGAAAATCACGAGACCGATTCCCCTTCTGACCACCACGGCAACAATTAATATAGGTATATGGAATGTTCGGACAATGTAGGAGACTGAGAGGACTGATCAAATAGCTACGGAAATGAAGAGATACAATTTGGTGGTGCTCAGAATCAATGAAATACATTAGACCCAAGCTGGAAAGAAAAGGATAGATTCGGGAGAGATGCTGCTGTACTCTGGTCACGACATGGACTGAGAGAAGGGAGCGAGAATGGTGACAGGTTTGTAAACTTATGTACCTTCAACAAAATGGTTGTAAGCTGCACAACATTCCCCCACAAACGCATGCACAAAGCTACATGAGTTTCACTGGATCACACTACAAAGAACTGGATCGGTCATATTTGCATCATTAAAATATTCACAAGGTCAATGGAAAACGCGAGAACCAGAAAAGGAGCTGATATAGCTTCAGATCATCACCTGGTAGTTCCGAAGATGAAACTAAAGCTAAAGAAGCACTGGACAACTAGAAAAATAGGATTACAAGGGTTTGATGCAGCCCTCCTTCGAGATACTGACAGACTCAACGAATTCAAGATAGCTCTCAATAACAGGTTCCAAGCCTTACAAGATCTACTGGAAGAAGAAGAAACTACAATGGAGGACAACTGGAAAGGGATCAAAGGAGCACTAACTCCAATGTGTCAGGAGGTTCTGGGACTCAAGAAGCATCATCATAAGGAATGGATTTCTATCAAGAACCTGGACAAAATTCAAGAAAGGAAGAACAAGAATACAGCAATCAACAACAATCGAACAAGAGAAAAGAGAAAGAGTCAATGAAATAGTCAAAAGGATAAATTAAACTTGCGTATATTGTTTATATGTCTTAGTGTTTTACCTGAACTAAACTTGTACGTTCAGACAATGTGAAGTCGGATTCATGTAAGCTGAGATGAGCAACTAATTGTTTGACTAAACTATGCGCCACCTGAGTTGTCTAAATAAAAATAGAAAACAGAGGCAAGAAACAGACAAACAAATATAAACTAATGAATAATTTGTATTAATTTTGTTTGAAAATATTAAAGTAATTTGACAATGGCTTTCAGTATACGACTAATTGGTATCATTCGAAAAATAAGTGAAGAGAAAATAACTTCGAAAAATTAAACAGTTACTTTTTATGGTTTGTCCGAAAATCCTCATTTTATGAAAACAGAGAAATATAAATGTTCATTAGGTTCTGCATCTATAAATTTAAACTTATGTTCCAAAAGGATAGCCAATTTCAAGGCAACCACATATTTGTGAGAATTACAGCGAACGAATATAGGATTGTTGGTAAAATAAAATAAAATCCCTAGTGTTGAAATGTCCATCATTCAATACTAACTAAAACAAGTTTATGGGTCAATTGAATTTGTGAAATTAACAATTAGAATAAATATGGATAACATGAGGTTAGAGAAACAGTAATGTAATAACAAACCAAACTAAATGTTTGGTGAAAGATTTTATAATGTATAGTGATAAGAATTCAGTAAGGAATAGTAAGATAAAGTGAGTGCTAGTTAGCTTCACGTATTTACAAGACTTAAGTACAAAAATTATTCAAGTTAACATTGCATGATAGCCGTCCCAACAATAACAATTTCAGTTTATTTTAGTAAACATCTTAAGTCCCCATCTTGTTACTTTTACGGTGGTAGAATGCGCCTTAAAGTTGATGATCCCTTATGAGCTTGATGAAAACATGTAAATAAGACTAATCTTCAACATCAATATTTCACTGAGCTCACAGGAAAATAATGAATAAGTTGGTATTACATGAAAATGACGATTATTAGTGATAAATCATGAACCAATCAATGTTAGACTACCATTTGAAACCTGGAAGCGTACAGGATCATGGATGAGCATTGATTAGGAGTCTCATACTTGAATTAAACGGCCGTCCAGCGCTACCAGGTTTTCCATAATGGTTTAACATTGACCAGTTCATGATCTCAGTTAAAACTCAGACGATCTTATACTGATAATAATAAATCAAGTGATGAAAAAAGTACACATATTTAATATATTTAATATAGTATTGTAGAAGCCTATAAGCGAAAATTTCACTCAATCATTCACTATCTTAAACTTTTAAAAAAGGAAGCCAATTATAACATGTAGGAAGAATATGTAAATGACTAACTACAATTACCATAACAACCTTCGCCACGATGAGATCCGAAGAAAAAAACATGAGTAGAATGGTAGTAATATGAAGACAATAAAAAACAATCGGATAATCAATCTTCAAACATATCACCTATGATCAGATCAATATCAAAGTAGAATGTCAAAATCATTGAGTATATGATTGAGTCTTGAACTGAGAATAGCTTGATGGATTGTTGAAATTATTTAAATTTCAGTATATTTTCATCATTTACACTTAAACAGTAAACATGGCTAATCGTGTATTAAACCAGTGAACAACTTAAACTGTTTCAGTAGCATAAGAGATAAAAAATAATGCAGACGTGAAAAGAATCAAGTGGATTTTGATTGGCTGGAAAGATGATATTTCCATCTTATTAGTTAACCTTACTCCGAATAATCCCGATCGAATGAAAACAGACATACATAATTGTAGTGTATTAGCTAATTAGTTTACTGTGAATGGGATAAAATCTAATGTATTGGTTTGATGTCAGTGAAACCTATGTTATTATTACTATGTTCTCATTTTATGCAATCGATCATCACATGGACAATAAGTAAATGGGAACTAAAATCAAATTGTTTCATAAAGGAGAGTAGGCAATTCAGTTTATCATTTCATAGTTTAACTTTCAATTTTATCTTATGTATTTTGGAGAAAAACGATAAGTGGAAAAGATATTACCTTCTGAAACTTGATAAATGTTCACTAAACTCATTGTTCATATAGTCAACTTTTAGAAATAAAATAGATGCCAATCCACCCTTCTTTCTTCATATGAATTTAGTAAATAACTTATAATATGTAGTCAAGAGTTTCAGTAAAAATCACATTTACATCGATTAAATATACACTGAGATATTTTTTTACATAACAGAAAAGGAAGAAATATAGATTTGCTCTCTCACTCCCCGTAAATTTACACATATTTCGTTTATTGCAATTCGTTATTTTTTCTACCATTAAACTGCATGAGTTCACTTTATCTACTTCAGTCTGGATAACTGAATATTATATCATTAGCTCTCATACAGTGCGTCTCATAATCGAGTATACTGACTTGCGTTTGATAAATAAATTACAATAATATTTATGGAAATATGAGAAAATAATCAACTGATTTGATACTCGTGAGTAAATAGATCACAGTAGGAAAATTGTTGAAAACTAAGGAGAACATGACAACCTTTTCCCCCTAGTTCGTCACTCCTTAGCTATCCACACCTACAACCCAACATAAGATCGAGGCCATGATCTTCGTTTACCACGGCGAATGATGACATTTGTAATGTATTAAAGAATACGAAACCAGGACGAAACAGATTTTCCTGTCCGTATGACGTCAGTGAGTCGTAAGTAAATGTATGCCAGCTAACATAGTTACGTAATAAATATTTTCCTTCCAGTAAAAATTAATTGTATCGGTAATCTAAGCAGTGAATTCATATTTAAATTTAATTTAGTCATCACTATACACATACAAGCATGCTTGAAACAATTCTTGTTTATTTAAAACTGAATAGTAATAACAGTAGTGTGATTATACTGATAATTTAAACTTTAATATTTTGCAGCGATAGAATTATAGAAAAAATGAACAGGTTTCACAACTTATCAGTCAGTAATGATTATTGGAAGCTTGAGGCTCGTGTGTTAAGTGAACCTTTTTTTAATTTTTTGGAATTAACGGCAATGCTTTGACGGATAGATAGTGTAAGCCAATTTTATAATTCATATGAATACATATGAATACCTTTGAATAGTTCAACTTTAAAAGTCAATCAATACGCAAGGTACACAATACTGTCACTTACTTTAATTACTATAAGCTTAACTTTTTTAAGTGATGATGAACTAATGTATCAAGTAAAACAAACACAATGAATCCAGAGACCTTCGAACCCTCCCCCCTTAATTCGATCCACGAGACCAGGTAGTGATAATCTCTTATGATGTAGCTCGAAGACGAAAACATTAATCTACATATGGTAAATTAGTTACATTGGCTAATCAATATGAAAGGGTAGGATAATGACTAAGTGTATCTGGGCCACTGTTACTGATTTTTTAAAGGGAACGTAACTCAATATCAACCTTATTCTCAGTGGTTCGTCAACTAATGTTAATACAAGAAAAAATTGTTAAAAACCACCATAAAACCGCTTGAATATGTGAATGACCTCAATTATTTTTACAATTAATTGAACAGAAGAACACATGCCGATACAAATGCATATATATATAGACATCTGAGAATTCGTGAGATGATAACAAACAAGAAGACAAATGATAGAAGAGAAATGAAAAATAAGGTATCATCCGATTATAAAATGAACATATTCTATAAATTTCTTGATATTGATTGGAATAGAGTCAAAAGAAATGAACGATAGGTATCGATTCTGAAAACTATTCTTATAGAAACAAATATGACTGATAAAGCAAAAATGTTCTATATGAAAGATAATCAATTATAAGCACATACAAGAGTGTTTATAACGGTAGCCTGATACCTAAAGAACTTGATTTTTAACTAATTGTTCATAGGTTCAATCAAACCTCATTCCATCAATTTCAGTTGAGAAAATCGAGCGGTATCATTAGCCCCCACAGAAATATAATAAGTCAAAGCCGAGTACATAGTATAGACCTGTACTTGGTGATAAATATCAAATTATTTAAAACCACGAAAGAAAATATTTTTCGAACGCTAAGATGCGTCGTCTCCTTATATCAAATCACATGAAAAGTCAATTAAGAACACTATACGATCATGTTATGAAAATGAGTGATGAACGTATTAAATGTTCACTTCTTTCTAAGTTCTACGTAACACGTAAATCGATGCGATTTCATGTTAGTTTATTTTGTTTACATTAGGGTTAAACAAATAGCCTCATCAATTCATTAAACAATAGGCGAGCCAATGAAGTAAGAATGCTAAAATGAGTGAAGATTTATACTGTTGAATTTCTCATATAGTTGTCACATAATTTCATCTCGCTATACTTCGACGAATTTACTCATAAAACTTTTGTACATTATGATAAATTTCCGATAAAAACAGTTATGGTTATGAGGAAAATTCAGTAAAAAACCTTTTGTGTGAATCTATTATCACTCAGATAAATGATATTCAGATGGAAAGCCGATAATAAGCCAAGAAAAACTAATAACTATTACAGAACAAAGAGTTTTACGTATGTCATTAATTCTGAGGTGAGATACTTTCGATTTATATGGACTCTGTGATCATTAACTGAAAATTGGCTTCTAAATCATAAAGTTATTATTGACTTGACCTTATAGTTTAGTTACACCTGATTAGTTTATGAAGCGGTGTTTAAGATCAAACTCTTCGTCTAATTCGGTTTGGAAATCCACGCTAATAAAACCAGTTCCCGACCTTCCTCAATGAAAGTACGTTTTTGTCCACTCAACATCAAGTTACGCTTACTTAATGAATCCTAGTAATATTATTTTCTGATTCATTTGCACAATATATAAATACATATATAATCTAACAGGCGCAGTATACGTTAAGGAGGGGTTCGTTCCAGGAATCATACGTCTGAAAGCGCTTTCATCAAATAATTCACTTCTTGACAGAATCCCACTCATAAAATGTTAAAGATTACAAATAGAAATTCAACCAGTGTCTCATAGTTGACTACGTAATTAACACCGATCTATTGTAATAATCGAATCTATGTAATAATAATGATAATAATAATAACGATAATAATAATAACAATAATAATAATAATAATAATGTATTATCCTGTTTAATCGTAACAGTAGCACTGATGAGATCATTTTAATCATTAAATTAAAATAGAAACGGAAAAGAAACCTGATGATGATGACGATGATTATAATAATAATACATGGCTCGACAAAATAACCCAGCTGGTAAAATGAATAACCTGTCCTAGTGATGGTTACGACTATTCGACAAGATAAACTTAAATACAACGAAATTCTGCCCAAACAGTCAAAAATTATCATGGGAATTTTTCGCAACTAGAACAGAAAGATACAGTTCTTCTTGAAAAAAATGTGTGCATTAAAGGTTAACACTGTAAGGTGTTTAGACATGGAAAATAAAATGATGAAAGACTAAATAAGCAGATGAATTTGAGGCATGTCAAAGAGATGAATTCTTAGGGCCTTAAACATTTTTAAACACTCACAGATATTGATTTCTGATGTTTGAACAGATTAATCCACGAGAACTTACAGCTTTCTGCATAATTAAGACCAATAGGTAATGATTTTATAAATTGATGTTATATCTTGATTGATCTATAAGTTTAACCATCTCCATTTCAATTGACACGAAAATAACTGAATAAACAGTGGTTTACATTGTGTAACACCATCAGAGTCGATAAAATTTTAAAACTTAGGTCCAAGATTTCATGCCGATCGCTTCCAATCATCTGACATCAAAACAATGTGCATACAACGTTGAGTTACTCATAATTAGTAGACACAATATAGAGTTATATTGTACAATAACCCTTTGACAGTCATTCAAGTATATGAGGTACCACAGACAGTGTATGCTGAGAAAGATCACTCACATTTTGTATTAAATTATGATATTTTACTAATAACAATCTGAAAAAATGACAACGACAACAATAACCTCTACAAATCCAAAATTGGTTTTTATCACATGGCAATGTCAGTTGACCACTTACTGAAAAATTGAAGAACGACAAAACTTTTGACATTTCGAATAAATCATTTACCAAGTACATGTTTAAGTACTCGGCTTTAAAGCCAAACCTTTTGCGAGAAGGCTAATAACACCATCCAGACGGTCCAAACCCAAGTAGGTGTTGATGACATGTGGCTGGAGGTAATCGGCAGGAAACCTTAGACCTAGGGATTCTTAATGTTTGATACTCGTTAGCAAGATATACCTGTAATTGTCAGAGAACTGATGCTTTCTAAAAGGATTCGAACCCATTTCCCTCAGTTTTACTGCTTGAAACGTTACCACTGAATTATTCGGGCTGCACCTAAACGCCAAAAAGGTGCTGCAGAGTTCAAATTTGCAACCTAATGGTTGAAAGTCGCTAGATATTAATACATAAACACACAAAACCTCTACAAATGACGTTATTAAGACGAAATAAAATGATAGATTACGTTTTGGTGTTCATTCAGTATAACATGAAGTATTCATTATGTATTAATTCATCTCCACCACTTTAGATAAGTATAGTATTTATTGACTGATTACCAAGCAGCACTAAAAAATATATATCTAAATGCGTATTTAATTAAAGCTATTGTCGTGTTTCTGAAGTGTAAATAAGATTTCCATTAATCATCCATTTTTGTCTTCTTGGTTGAATTGTGAAAAAAAATCACTTTCCCCTATTGCCAGTATCAGTTTTCTCAGTTATAACAGAAACGTGCAAATCAGCACTGGCTTTAACTTGACTTTCACTATTCAATTAAGTGTCACCAGCCTAATGACCCAGTCACAGATGGAATTACATTTCATTCATTTTAAAATGTTTCTTTGATGGAATGAGTTATTACCAAATATGTACATATTTTTTTACTACTGGAAAAAAAAAATGTACATCTTCTTATTATTGCAAAGGGCGATGATGAATGAACAGTGTGAACGAGCCGAGAAATAACACTAAAAATTAATTTTCCATATTTGTTAGTTTTGAATATTGTAGGCGTAAGTATTTTCAATATTTACTCAACTTGTATACATATAGAGATGTATATATTTGTCGATCTGTTATGAAAGAAATAATAACAATCAATTCAGCGTCAACTTGAAATCAAATAAAAACCGAAATAACTTTTTTAACATTCAAAGAAACTGAAAATCATCAAAATATAGGAAATACTTTATCACCAGCCGACAACAATTTAAAAACAGTCGAAATGAATCAAGGGCAAAGCATCTGCTTTGGAATAGATGAAGACACCTTGACAGTCCTTATCCATGGTCTTACACTGGACCAGAACAAGGATACTTATATCTTGCAGCGAGCACGATACGATTGATCTGTGAAGCTGTGACTTTTGGAGCCAATTAAGTCAAGAGTGAATAATTTACACTGATGAATCTGAATAAGGATAGCACTTTATCACAAATCGGCTAGAGTTTGGGAATGTTAGTATTAAATTCTGATCAAGCTTGTTGAGACACCGAAATGGCTTCGACTCAGTCTTAGATTTGAGTGATTACTGGCTGCATGTCCAAACCAGAGTGAAAACATCATTTAACTGTGTTGCCTAGGTTTGAACAGCTCTGGAGATAGTGTCAATTTACGATAAAAATAAACTTTAAAATATAAAGTCATCAAAGAAAAACTACTTAAATTAATTTGTTTATTACCTTGAGTGAATCCAAAAGATATTGAAATATGAGTAAAGGAAAATCACAAGGATCCCACAATTTATGATTATCTAAATGCCTACAAAAAATATTTAAAAACAAGAATCATCGGTACATAGATTCGTTTACTTTCAATAAAAAAGTGTTTTAGCATGAATTTCATTCGAAGATAGTAATTTATTAAATACTGACATAATTCTTGACCTGTCCGTAACTAAACTGTGTTAAATAAATGGATATTCACCAAACCTAAAAACGAACTCCAATCAAATCGATAACAAAAAACGTCAACTAATGAATAATGGACCAATTTTATATAATTATAGAATCAAACATACAAATACACAGTGAAGATCCACTTAGATGATGCATTGATTTAGTGATCATGTAATCAAATTTAGTCATGAAATTCATCAAATAGTCAATAAAGATTATACGAATAATCGATGAGAAGTGTCCCTAGAAATAAACGTTAGCATTTCATAGTTTTCAATCTTAGAATTCAAATCAGGGTATTGGCAGGTTGAGGTACACCCAGAGGACAGAGCAAAGACGGCACTTTTTATTCCGACTGGGTTATACGAATTTCAAGCAATACTCTTCGGACTAACTACTGCCCCTGCAACCTCTCAAACACTCATCCAATTAATCCTGAAAGATTTAGTTTCGAAGGTGTGCATGGTTTATCTAGATGATATTGTTGTTTCCAGCAACAACGTCGAGGGACATATTCACCGTATTTAGCTAGTGTTACAGTGACTCAGTGATGTTAGTTTAAAGGCTCATCCTAGTAAATGCAACCTACTGCTTAAGGAATTAACCTTTTCGGATCCCCTGATCGAAGGTTGGAAACCACAAGGCGCCCACCAGCCCCTCCAAGGATTAGAAAATTAAGCGAAGGCGCTTGCAAAATGTTATTATTCCCAGCATATGACTATTGTTAATTTTATTCGATTCTTTTCTAAATGAATCCGAGACGAACAACTCGATATAATAGGGGCTTTTCTCAGGATTTCGGCCTGTTTTTAATGCCCATCCTATATAAAGCCAAGATATGGCTATTAGTGGGTCCAGAATTGCGTGGAAACGAAAACTTATGTTGTTTTTTATAAAATATAATTTTTTTAATAAGTGAATATGCCAAACACGTCAAGGTGATTTAGTTGACAGTCAGCGACTTAACTTAATAATGTCTTTGTTCTGGTGTCATTATTAGCATTTTCTCGACAGAAACGCATAACTTAATTCACTTTGAATAGGATTGTACAGCTTTAGCAAATAATATAGCCGAAAAGAAAATTTTCTTCGATGAACAAACCATCGTATTGATGGTCTGTATAAACATAACAGTCCGATAATTGCGAAAGATACATGATTTTTGAATTACTAAACCTCAAAATATTTGTATGATTAGTTGTGCTTTCCATCTAAGATTATTTACATGGCGAGCCGAAGCTTTTTCATACTTATATGTCCGGTTGTCTACAAATACCTATTTAATTTATGTATGCATGGTTTGTATCAATTTTAGCTGTCGAACATGACAGAAATATTAGTGATCATATTATATTACAGACTTGATCGCTACCTGGATTAAATATCACAATTTAATCAAAAAAAGGTGACAAAAGGGAGCCCTACATCTCGTTTAAACGTTAATCAGATAAAATTATTCAGGATTATTAGTATAAACATATATATGGGTGAGGGTAAAAAGTCATCCAACAACATAACAAGATTCATTGGAACAAGTCTTCTAAGTAATTCAATCAATAAATATATAATACAATGAACTAGGACGTTATATATCCCCAGATCGTCCTTAATTGTCAGCCTGAGACATCTTGATAGATGTAGACAACTTGTTTGGGGCTCAAACGATTACTGAAGTCGGTTGCAATGCTCTAGATGCATTCACTCCTTATCCACCCTCAGAATTTAAGTTCCAAAATTACTTTATCCTTTCAATTTTGTAAATCGATTCTTTCTTCTCACTTGTTATTCTCTGTGCCTAGTCTTTGTCTACAACTTCTATTACTCTGGAATTTGTTTAGAAAATTTTTTATCTCACTTTGTTGATTTAGCGTGTCAAATTAAACAGATGTACATATGTAGCAAGTTGTATGCTGCTTATAACTGAATAACTGACCACACCCTTTAGATTAATTGACTTGTTTTCTATTTGCCTGAAACTTAATTTTACCTTTTTTCTGTAATACCTTTTTAACTGCGACCTGGATGAATAGTACTTCTATCGTTTTCGAACTCTTTGTCTATTGTGCCATTTAGTTGTCTAAGATTTTTTAAAAATTGTGTGCATGTTACTACATAAAAGCTATATCTCCGACTTTCAAACACACGCGGCTTTACTAAGTAGGGAAAAACTAGCTGCAAAAGTTATTTAAATATACCAAGCCAAATAATCATCTTGTTATTTATTCATATAGAAGAAACACAAACTTACGTTAAAATAGATGTTACCACAGGTTTGATATTTGTATAAGAAGCTTGTCTAACAATATCTTCGAACACATATACAGCTTCTTGTGAAGGATCACATTGCGATTCATTTGAATTGGAATCTAGTTCAAACCTTGGGAACAAGAATTTTCCAGGAGAAAAAACAGATTAAATTAAAACCTCATTTATAATAGTGACGAATATCATTTAAAAGTATTGCAATATAACCTGTGATATAATCATGGATTATGATATATATATATATATATATATATATATATATATATATATATATATATACCCCTAAATGCCCTGGTACAGCCGAAAGTGAGAAGAGTTCGCTCTCCCTCTCCGAATGCTCTCACATGGCCACGTGTATAAAGCCACTGACAGGGAAGTCCCACTCATTCTCTTCTCGTGGTGTGGGTGTTGTTTACGAAATTGAGAGGACGAAAAGTGAATGTCCGGCACTTTAACCTGGTTGTGGATATGGAGGATTCAACTAGGGGAGTTAAAAAACCCTGATTCAAACCGATGATGCACATGGGCTCCAGGATCCTGAAGGAACAAATGGTTTATGAACCAATCGTTGGTCCCTGGCTACCATTGGACTGTATCCCTTACGTCGCTCCACTGCCTTGTGGATTAGACCTTTAGGTCGAAGGCTCGAAGTGTGACCCATTAAGGAAACCACCTGCTTCGGTTTGGGCATCCAGGCAGAAAAATGAAAACGTAGGCTAATACTGCATTTAATATGAGCAGTCTGTCACTAACAACGTAGAACCTCGTACGTACGTACATCAGTTCGAGTTGCCACACCACATTAGCACAGAGATGCAGTGGTCGATTCAAATCCCGTAGTTCTAGATGTAGTAAAATTATAAGCAATGATCGGAAAGATTAGGGTTTGAAGATGTTATTCAAGGAGTATAATCCAGTGAAATAAATTTGGATAAATAAAGAAGGGACATGAAGAATTCAGAAGATTAGAATTTGGGAGAACACAAAGAGTGGATGCTCCTGCGCCATTGCAAACGATTTTGAGCCATGTTATTCAGGGTTTCTAACCATCGGTTGCTATCATCTCACTGTCCCCAACCAGGTAGTCTACACCTACCGACTTGACTCAGACCACTTGTCAGTGACTTCATGGAATTGTGCCATGTTTTGGTCTGGCCGCCCCTAACTTTCTTCCAATCTACTCCGATACAACAAAACATCGCACATTGAGGCAATCGGTCGTTGGGCACACGTAACACGTGTCTCAGCCATCTCAACTGATGAAGTTTCACTACGTCATCAATGGATTTGCCATCCTTACCTAGTACCCGTTTCCTAACAACTGCATTACTTACTCGTAGCAATGCTTTGAATGCACCTATGATCGAATACTAGTAACCTGCGAATATCCTCTACTCTTACCGACCATGTTTCACTGCCATAAAGTAGGACGGAATGAACTGCTGTGCAATAAACTCTTCCTTTGGTTGATAGACGGATATCTCGCCTACGCCATAAATGACGCAAGTTGGTAAAAGCTAGTCGAGCCTTCTGTATCCGTGCTGAGATTTCGTCACACACCGGACCACAAGGGCTGATGAGACTTCCAAGATAAGTGAAGCGATCGACACGCTCAATTACTTCACTTCCTATCATTAGTTCGGGTGTCAATGCAACCCAATCCTGAAGCGACATTTTGCATTTCGAGAGGGAGAATCACATGCCGAACATGCTTGCATTGTTGCTTAGAGTGGTCAGAAGACTCTGCATTTTGTCAGCGTCTTCACCAAATAAAACTGTCATCTGCATATTCTAAGTCAACAAGTGAACCTCCCGGTAGAAGTTCAACCCCTGGAAATTTAGATGAGGAGAGTGTTATCTCTAAAAGTACGTCGACCACAAAGTTGAAAAAGAATGGGGAGAGTGGACAACCCTGACGAACACCACTTGAGGTAATCAATTCTGATGACAGTTCGCCATAAGCCCTCACTCGATCAGTTGTGTTCGAGTAGAGAGCCTGTATAAGGTTAATGTACTTCTTTGGTACTCCTTTCAGTGACAAACACTGCCATAGAACCTCACGATCAACAGAGTCGAATGCCGCCTTAAGGTCGAGAAACAATACTATTGTGGGGCATCTGAATGTGTGTCTATGTTCTAGAACCTGACGTAGTGTGAACATGTGGTCTATACAACCACGTCCAGGTCGAAAACCAGCCTGATTTTCTCTAATTTGTTCTTCACGAGCTTTGGTTAGGCGTCGAAGTATTATTGAAGCTAATATTTTAGACACTATATTTGTCAAACTGATTCCTCTGTGATTGTCACAAGAGGACTTTTGTCCTTTTTTATAGACTGGCACAATCAGTGATTGAGATGAGTCAGATGGGATTACGTCCAATTCCCAAATTCTACCCAAGACCTCAGTCAATCTCACTGCTAATACTGGATCACCATCCTTAAAAATCTCAGGGGTGAACCTGTCAGGGCCTGCTGCTCTCCCTCACTTCAGATTTCCTATGGCTTTTTCAACTTCGTAAAGAGACGGAGGACCTACATTAACTTGCCATTCAGGTTGACTGGAGATCGTGGGAAACCGAAGTGGGGCTGAAGGCCAGTTGAACTGATCCCTAACGTGTTCTGCCCATTGATCCAATCTCCTGGATTGAGAACGCATAATATGTTCATCTTTCTCTGAAATTGTTTCGCTAACAGTCGGTTTCCTAATACCGGTTTCTTTAACAAGTCTGAACAATTGTCTGCTGTTACCTGATGCCGCTGCCTTTTCCATCTCTCTTGCTTTCACTACCCACCACTGTTCACAATCATTGCGTAGTCTTCCTGTCAGCTTGCGCATGGGCTGACTCAGCTCTTCGTTATGTTCAGAGCCATATGAAATGGGTTTTTGAACATCTATCAGTGCAGTAGATGCTGCTGAAATCCAGTGTTTCTCCCTAGCCTTATGGTTTACCTTACTAGCAGATATCACTGCTGTTTCCACAGCTTTTCGGATATCATCCCATGCTGCCTCGGGGTGGGCATCACATACATGGCTGCCTAACTGTTTTTCTAGTTGTTCCTGAAATATACTCTTAGCTTGACTATCATTAAGTAAGGCCCTAAGAGGTTTCCTTGCAGCGTCTTTCCTACGTCCAGTAAGACGCAGGCAAATACGCACTCGTACTAGAGCATGATCTAAATCTAAGCATGTGCTCCAGGATGAGCGACAGTCTTCTATCGAACTCCTCTATCGGTGGCTGATAGCGATGTGATCTATTTGGGTCCAACGTTGGAACGACTTAGGGGGTCGCCATGTCAAAAGATGTTTTTCCTTATGCTTAAAGTTAGTATTTGCAAGGAACGACGGTTATCCGAGCATAGCTGAAACAGACGGTCGCCATTATCTGTTCTTCGAACCACGATGCTATAGGATCCACCCAGGTGTCTTTCCCTACATGAGCATTAAGGTCACCAGCCACTATTACTACATCCGAGCGCCTAGCTTTTCGGAGAAGGTCGGAGAGCTTTCTGTAAAACTCATCTTTTACATCATCTGCACTGCAGTCAGTAGGAGAATAGGCAGAGACGACGAAGAAGCAATGACGAGTGTCCCTATCTTTTCGGATCCTTACTGTTCCGTTTAGTCGGACAGCGCACAAACGACTGTCTGCTGGGATCCACACTGAGAGAGCTAGCTCTGCCCTAGGACTCAATGCTATACCTACGCCGGCAAGGCCACGGGAAGCAGAATCAGAGCTTCCAGATACACGAATTGTGAACCGAGTCGGTTCTTTATTTTGGCATGGTGTCACTACTCGGATCCTGTATGCGCGTTTCAGAGACGCAGCACACATCGATGACGCGGGATTCTAAAGTCTTAGCTAAGGAAGCCTGCTGTCCTATTTGGCACAGTGTTCGGACGTTAAAAGCTCCTACGTGTAGTTTAGAGCGTGGTTTCAGGAGACCAGGAATAGCGTTCCGCGTACTCGAATCGTTTGCCCTAGCGGTGCGAGGTGATAAAGATACGTGAGGAGGGTTAGTCATGGAGATAAGAGAGGTATTAGGTGTAGGAAGGATTTGAATGTGACCAACTTGGTCCCGTGTGCTGTTACGTATATGAGGGCTGATATCACTTCCCGGCTGCCCACACCATGGAAGGGTATTTCTTGAGGAACCTGAAAAGGAAATTGGATTAGTGTTGGTCTTAACGACCTAAGAGCGTGACCGCAGAGCCCAAGGGACAACTGCTTGAGGCCGGTCGCGCACGGCCTTTTCGTGGGAGGTTTTCGACGTGTTAGCTCCGTTCTTCAAAGGGCCTTACTGCCGGAGACGGAAATCCGTGAGGTAAGGTGAGGTGTGACATTTTTAGGGTCGACCTTTTCTAACCCCACCCCTCCTTGTGGGAAGGCAGCATCGCTGTCATGCTGGATGTCCGAGGGAAACACCTTACTGCTGTCACACCCCTCTACAGTCAGCAGTACGACTTCGCCCTCAGACCTTGAGTTGCTGCTTTTAGTCTTACCGTTCTTCAATCAACCTGCCTGGCGCGATAGAGCCTACAGGAACATATGTTCCAGCCAATATAGCTCGGTTGGGTCATCACGATAGGCAAGTCCGACCACCGCAGCTTCGGTCGGGCATTAAGATTAAGTATTGAAATGAATACCCGGAAATCGAAAAATCGTGTTTGATAAACTGTTTCATGAAAAGTCAATAGACAGTCAAGCTCTCAAATTTTAAATTGTAATCAGACAATTTGCTTTGATATCTTACTTATCACACATATTGAATAGGAGTGGAAGTACGATTTTGTCCATATTCGACTCGTGAACTTCCAATATCAGTTGATCACTGACCATTTTACGAACAACACCTTGGATTCCTTGTATACCTGCCACTCTGACACTGGAAGCACTTGAGAAAATTAATGGGGACTTACGCATTACGCTCTTGTGGGTTGAGAAAAGATGCGTGAGCCATAGCAGCAAAATGGTCAAGAATCTCATTGCATTCCTTGTGATAGTTGGGAGAATCATCGTCTATCTTAGAAAACTCTACAAACTTCACCTAAATTAACCAAAAAAGGATTGGTGACTTGCCGACTTAGACGCCATTATTTGTAGGTCCATGCGATTAGTCTCCAGAAGTAGTTGAATCATTTTCAAAAAACTAATAGCCAGAACTAGTCTGTGACCATGACAAACTTGGATTAGTTTGTCAATAGCTTTGACGGATATCGATATATTTCTTGAGGAAATAAACATCAAACAAGCTTACTGATCATAACGCCTACTGAGATCCTGTGAGAGTCTCAGGTGCAAGTACTTGGCAATTCGATCCAGCTTATCAGGCTGGTGTAAGCAATAATGTATGAGTTTATTATGGTTATTAGTATCCTAAAAATTCGCGACATACAAAAATAACATTTCAGGCAAACCTGAGGGCTGCCAGAATACAAATTATCAACCATTTTCATCCATTTTGGTCTGCATGGCCCACACTTAAAACACGTTGATCGTACACCTAGTAGATCCCTTGAATTAAAGGCAAAATAATACAGAAACCTTACATAACATTCCAAAACACTGCAACGCATCAATTCATAAAAGTCACACACTGAATCACAACGTTTGAACAATAAAACAGTTTGACAAATGAAATATGGAAAAGACTAATAGCATAGTAGTACGAATCCTCAGTATTCGTACTTCCTTCACAATTGTTTTTCGATGGTTTCAGTTACTGAAACATGAAGACACCATACTCTGCTGTATGTATCAAACGCCTATGGTTCAGTACCATCATTTTTAGGTTTGTGGTAACCTTACAACAACTTAAAAGACAACGAAAATTTCTCAAAACCTTTCTGTTCACCTAAAAAGTACATGTGCTTGGTTCAGCAACGATAGAGAGTCATAAGGAAGAATAATCCGGATTAAGATGTTTGAAAATTTACGGAGGCTTCAACTTTGCTGAACCTAATCAAGGTGGAAAATTGGACAAACCTCTCAGCCACAACGTTTCATCTCAAACTGTCAAATCCAGGCTGGAACCGATCTGTCTGACTAGGTAAATAATGCACGACTTACCTCATCCATGTGTTCGAGCAAACGTCAAGATGATCTCATAATGATTTTTCGGGCCTGGAGCAAATAAATTAGTAAGGGAATGGGTATTATCTTATATGAACTATAAAAAACCTAAAGTAGTCGGACATTTACGTTTTTTGAGGCCTTTACCAAGTTTTTGATAGTAGAACATTGCCATATATCAAAGTCCCTTTCCACATAGGCTTATTTCAACCAAACTGCTTTATGACGTCATTCGACCACCTTATCCAGACTATAGGGTCGGTGAAATAACACTAAACTACACCCAACTTAGTCTGCTAAGCTGAACGCATTACAATCACGAAAAACTGGTTGCATGGACGGTAAAGCTAATGATGACTAACACTTATTATTCGGTCTCTCGAATGGGGTGATACTTTTGGTAGCCTTGATGCCTACGTTCATTCTATTCTTTCGCCTACCTGTGAATTCAGCGTTGGCAAGAAAGCTTTTATTCGGTCTCTAGGTTTACTACATAGCACGTAGCCAGGTCATGGGTTTAGAGGACTGAGCCAAACAGGAGTTGTTTTAGTGGTATCGGTTCCTAACCACATGATCTTTGAAGCCGAGCATATAATTAATAATTTACATTCACCAGGTAACACTTAAAGAAAGTCAAAAATGGTGGACGCGGGAACAATTGATCGGTGTAGCATGGCTCAGGCTTGCAGGCGTCGCCAAATGTGTAACTCATCCTTGATTATATTAAGATATATAATCTTATCCCCAAAAGTACTAAACATCGTATTGCTGACTCACGACACGATGAGTCTGAATAAACAGTGATGTGGTTTCAACGTAAGATCTTATGAAATAGGTAGTCACGTCATGACAAATCTACAATTTTGGGACTGTGTATGAATATGGTGACAAAGATAAATGTAGCAATACTGAATTAGGTTAAATCCTACATCGGTGAAACCGACTGAAAGGACTTAACCTTTTATTAGTTCTCATATTCACTTTAACTTAATCTGTTGATCTTTTCTTCAACCCGTTATGTTATTAATTTGTTAATTAATGCTCATGTGTATTGTTGTATTGTAATGGTGATTAGTTATTATAGATTATTGGATCGATCGATGCCAATAACTGGTCATCTATATTCATATTTAGCCACTATGGTCTATTAACAGGTATTAGCTGCGTTTACAAATAACCCTATAGTTCTGCTAGGGCTACTACCGGTTCCAAGTTCGGGTAAAGGACCAGGGTTGGACATAGGGTCAGCAACCCCATACCATGGAAAAAAACCTTGCCAAAAAATGCTAAGGGGGAAAAACAGTTTAAGCTCTGCCCTCCGGGTTGAAGGACCTTCATTCAGAAGAATTGTGTCGCCTATTGTTGAAAGCCGAGATGTTCTGAAAATCACGAGACCTATACCCCTTCTAACAACTAGAGCAACAATCGATATACTTACATGGAACGTTCAGGCAGTGTGGGAGTCTTGGGGGACTAGTCATATAGCAACGGAAATGGGGAGATGTAATTTGATGGTTCTCGGAATCAGCGAAACACCCAAGCTGCACAGCAAGGGTTAATTCGTTTCCTACCTCATGCTAAACTCGAAACTTGCAACTAACCTGTATGCACCATGAGCCGATAAGTATGAATATAAATAACCAGTTTTTGCGCATCAAATAATTGATTTCAGGGCACGTCATTCACGGTTACACTAGCGCTCAACGAACTGCTGTTAGCAATCTGTCCAAAATTCATATAATTATAGCTATTTTCACCTAATAAAAGCATTTTTGATAACAATTCATATATTATTAGTTTTATTAAGTATCGTCATGAAAGCACAGTCATATAACCTCCCGATTACTTTATCTAATGCATTACTCTCTTTCCAGCTCAAATATATTCTCGAAAGCTGCTACTAGCCATACTGCTCATTATCACGATAGGACGAGTCACTGTAGATAATGCCGTGACTTCAACGTTGGATCTCATATCAGGACAAATCTATGATTTTGGGATTAATTATATTATTAAAGTAGTATCAATACCGAAGTAGACGGTGATTCTATAGAGACAATGAGAAGTCATGGTGACTCCGTCTTCGAAATTGATTTCCACCCTTAATGTTTTTTTCTAACAACAGATGTCCTAGAATAAGTTATTTAGCCGAATCGTACAGAAAATGTTTTGTCTTAAAATACTGTGACATTGCTGTATTTTCCAATACAACAACAGTTTTTTTCTGCCTGCATGGGCGATTGTTTTGGTGTCCTGATTAAAAGAATATAAGGTGGCTCCATCGATGTTTAAGGGTCACTATGTGTTGGTAACAGGATGTAAAGTAGAGGCTCCGTAACCTGGAATGAAACGTTTGTATGGCCAGTTTTCAGCTTTCTTTGGCCTAGTGTCGCTGTGTAAATTTTGTGAACGATTTTGCTTTCTTCAAGAGTCTACCATGAGTGTTAGGATATCCAGTTAAATGTAGGTTCAAGACAATCCTTGAACGAATGTGCATATATATGTGTGAAAATCCACCAATCATTGTCTCCAAGTGGCAACGTTTTTGTTCTTCTCCGTATGTAACGCTTTTTCTCTGGCCTTCTGCAATTATGTATATTACGTATTAAATTTTTCGATCCCTTTACATTTATTTTATCTCTTTAGTGCCTACAGATTCCGAAATCAACTTAATCATCGGTGTCGCCGAGTTTTCAATAACTGTTTCACTTTTGTTTTGTTTATCACTGCTTTTTAGGGCTAATTAAATTAGATTACTGTGCTTTCGTTATGACAGCGTAAACTAACGGTCTCCTCTTTCTATTACAGATATTGAAGCTTGCTTGTTTTGGTAACTTATACAAGTGATAACCTGTAACTGGTTGTATTTCATGTATAATGATCATTTTATGGCCGATCGCCCATCATTGGAGGAAAGAAAACCAACCTATACATTTTCTTTGTGTAGGATATCATTCCTTGATTGATAGGAATATTCTTCCTGTTGTAACAGCTAGGCTTAACCAGACATTTGTACCCATTGAAAGTGAATTTTCCAGAGAGATTTGGTTAAATGTTTACGTTCATTTTTATTCCTCATCTAATTGATTGTGTCACATTATTATAGGACGGTTCTTGACCATCATCGTATTTTGATGTATTTGAACCAATAGGAGAGTGGCTACGAGCACTAGTGGCACGGATCCGCCGAAATTCGAGAAATTCTGAATTTAACAGCAGGTTACAAACAAATGCAAGAAAACAAAGTTAATATTGAAGGAATGGAAACATTTGAGATGTTCACAAACAGGTTTTTAAATCTCATGACATTTAAAAGTAACAGCAGTGAATATTAAGAAAGGTGAATATTGTTGTTGCCAATATAACGGTTTACCGAATATTTTAATGGATATTTGACTACATCACTGTGATTAAAGTCATGTTTGATCTTTAGAAGGAATATTTTGATGTAGTGTTTGTTGTGTATGATGTCGGGTTTTACTGACACTCCTTTTGTTCTCATAGTGTTGCAAGGTTCACAAACACAAGTGTGTGAATGCGTCAGCTCATTTTTCTAAACTCTGTCAACGTATAATATTACACACATAGCAACGTCACAAAATAAGTGTAGACAATATTAACACTGGACACATACAGCTCAACCTGATTTGGTTTATTTTCTCGGAAATCAAAACAAAGTAGCAATAAACCAGATACCGTCAGTGTTCCTTTCTCACCGATAATATTGATGACCATTTTCGCTTGATCGCGTTCTATTCCATCTGTTAAGAAACAGATATTGGTCAACGGAATGGCCATTATTTTTCTGCGGTTAACCGAGTAAAATGTGGGATTTAATTTGCCCTACATATATATACTACTAGAACCCAAAACGCGATACTGGTGACCCCAGAGTCCATGTGAGAGCTATAGTCAGAACAAGGACAACTTGGCTTTGAACTTTATCTGTTTCTAAACGTAAAAACAATTAGATTGTCATTAAGTGGAACGTACAAACATACCAACTAGTGTTGCATGTTTTACCGAAATGAACAAAAACTGAGTCACATCAATATAATGGGATAATAATATCCATACAACAGGGATAGTCTAGAGACACACGACCAGATTGACGTGGTAAGCGCTTAAACAACGATTTGATTGGTTAGTTGTGGACATAACTAACATTCTTCGCAAAGGGACACCACGTTCATGCTTCACTGCCATCGCCTCCATATGATCGGCTGATCTCTTCGGACGCTGTCTTCGGTCAAATTGTACTGACTCGTCCATCAGGATCACAACTGACCTGTCTAACTATAGCTTACGGCCACAGATTTTTCTTTGAACTAGTATTGCCTACTAACTGCAAATCTCCTAGTTGTAGATTTCTTCTCATGTCCAACCACTTGGATCTCGCCTGAATAGTTGATAGGTACTCCTGTAGCCTTCTGTTTCAGAATGTTGTCTATTTGCTGCTCTTCCTTCCATCTTCTGTTGTAAACACGTTTTCTTATCTGTGCTTCATCGTATAATAAACTTCTATGAACTAAC